GCAGATGCCCATTTTGGAACCTCCGCCTCCCTCTGCACCCTCCTTTTTCCCGCCCTTCCCCCCTTTTCTTCCCCTTTTCGGTTGGAGAGAGGCTAAGATTTTTGAAGGGTATTGGGCTGGATGTATGAGCTGACAAACTCTGACTGTGATAAGGGGACAGCAGGGAGCCGAACAACTTCCTGAGCGTCCCTTTGAGGGCTTGGAGGAGGGCCAGAGCAGGAAGGTCTTTTGATGTTCGGATGGGAGAGTTTGCGTTCCCTCGTCCCCCAAACTGTGGATTTGCTGCTCCCTCCAGATTCGGAAAACCAGTCCTCCGGCCAGCGACCACACTGTGTTTGTGGTGTTCTTTTTTTTTTTTTAAGGAAGCCAAATTATAGATTTACGCATGCTTATTAATTTTACTAGTGATTCCATCATGCCTCCATCCTGCTTTATATACCAATAATTGTAGGCCAGTAATAAGATGTTTAACAGCTATGGGACCATTCCCGAGACCCCAGGACTCCCCGGGAATCAGGGACTAACGTATTTCAAAACCTGACGGACCCTGAGGGCTGTGCGCACCCCCACCCGCCCCTCCCCCCCAAGGCAAGGGACAGAGCAAGAGCTTGTGTGGCCGGGAAGGAGTCCAGGTTTCCAAGATATTTTTCTTTAAAGGGTTGGGTATACCACATTTCATAATTGAATTTTATATACTGCATTTTAGATGTTAGCTGGTTTTAAAATGAAAGAATCCCCCATTGTATTTTACAAGGTATGGCAGTTTCACTAGTATTTGGTGATGACATTTGTGAAAACTTGAGCAGCGTCACGGTAAGACACCAATGTCACATGCTTAAGAAATATTGTCCAGTTACCTCTCTGGCGGTTTTTGTTTTTTTTTAAATTTTCTTCGTCTTTAGGGCAGGCACCCCACATCCAGTGGAGGTGGCCCCACATTTCTCCTGGGTTGCTTCCTGAGCTCCGGGCGGCCATGTGGGCCAGCGGAGACCGCGACTTGCGAGCTGCCCTGGGCCGGTTTGGTCCCAGCCGGGACGGGTTCCAAACGTGGCCTTTGCTGGAGCAGCGCTGGGAGAGCCGGCCGCCTTCCTGTCTCTGCGTCGGCTGACAGTGTGCTGCTTGTGTGCTGCCTTCTCGCTGGGAGCCTGCCAGCGCCTTTCAGGATATTATGAAATTTAAACCAAACGAGGTTAAAATGGAGCCTCTGTGCCGTGGAGCGGAGCGGACGCGGGCTGAGTGCCGCCGTCCATGGTGGCTTCTTGGAGGCTGGGGGTCCTGGTGGGGGCCGACAGGCTTCAGCTTTCTTCGAGGGAAGGGCTCAGCCTGGGAGCTCAGCGTGCCCGGTGGAATTAATGGGCCGTGTCCAGGGTGTATTTCAGCCACACAGGCCACTTAAAAAGCAGAGCTCTCTTAAAGTGATTTGCCTTGGGTGTGACTCCCATAACCACCCCCTCCTCCCCCGCCACACTGGATCCGATGGTTTGATTGTGGACTGTTTTCTGAGTTGCTGATCAAACTCACCCTCGTACTCTTCCTGTTGGGTTTGTGAAGGGCAGTTCTCTGTGCCCTAGGTAGGCACGTTTGCGGACAGTGAACCTGGGACGAGAACAGTGTGGACGTGTTTCTTCTTGGTGGAGTCCTCGCCAGCTTGGCTGCAGAGCGAGGCCAGTGCAGCCGCTGGGAAGGGACTTGACAGCCTTCCCTTGGAAACCAGTTGGGTGAGGGAAGAGGGATGGCGGAAGTCTGTCCCTGGCGTTTGGTAACCTGAACTGTGCAAAAGACAGAGCCCAGCTGGACTGGGTGGGGAGGTGGAAAGGGCAGCAGGAGTCTGCCACTGGGGAAGGACTTGAGCTGGGGCAGGTGTGTCACCTGCGGATCGGCGTGACAGGAGCGGCCTGGACCTCAGGTTCTCAGTGCTGACTCAGGGGCTGCCCCCAGACGGACTCCCTCCCTCTGGAATCCTGAGTGCAATGCCGAAGCCATCGTTTCAGCGGCATTTGTTGTCACGAGATTGGAACTCTAAAGTTTTGTGGAATATCTGTCCAGGTTCAGTGTTGTCATCAGAATTAAATGTGTCTGAAAAGTTAAAGAAGCTTTCAAGCTCCGAAGTCAGTGACACAGTTTTCCGCCGCAGTGGAGCATTTGCCCCTGAGGCTCAGATGGCCGGGCTAATTCCTGGCCCTGTCATTGCGGGCGGCTGGGGAGCTTGACCCTTCTGAGCTGCAGGCTGGGGCTCCAAAGCTGGGGAACTCAGGAGTTGATCCGGTGCTCTGATCCGGTGCTCAGAAGGTGTGAGCTCCTGGAGGGGTGCTGTGTGTGTGGGGGTGTTCTCAGCCCTGCCCGCCCGCCCGCGGCCAGGCTTCCTTCTCCCTCCTGCAGTCTGGTGCCTGCCCAGCACTCTCCCGGGGTGGGGGGTGGGGCGGGCAGATTCTGTCCTGAGTGGCCCTGCAGCACAGTGAAGTCCCTGAGGAGGTCTGGCCTTGGGTGATGGGGGAGAGGCCAGTGGGGTGGTGTCAGAGCTGCAGATTCAGATTTGGATGGGGGGTGGTGGGAGCCAGCATGGCCCAGAGGACGTGTGTGTGTGTGTGTGTGTGTGTGTGTGTGTGTGTGTCTGTGTCTGTCTCTCTCTCTCTCACATTGTCAGGTTTGCTTTGAAATGGATCTGGGCTTTTTGAGGGAGGCGACACTGGGTAATTACCTTTTACACTCTGGAAAAGGAGTAGAGTAGCAAGGACTTTGCTTGCTTCTGCTGATTTTCAGAGCCAGGGTTCTTGCACAGATCATTTTGGGTCCAGAAGAGCAATTCTGACTGTGGATCAGCTGCCTCCTTCGAAGATGTTGCCTGCTTTTCCTGAGGCTGGGGCGGTGGACAGGACCTCTGCGTGCCGTCTCCTGTTGACCGTCTGCCTCCTTCCGCCTTGGTGGCCCTCGCTGGGGGCTCGGGGGCTCGGGGGCTCTTCGTCCCCTGTGCCCCTCAGATGTGATGAGGGACAGCCTAGAGCCCCAGTGACCCTGACACGGGTGTTAGAGTTTCAAGGGAAGGCTCAGCGGGCTTTTATCCTGTCTTCAGGATCTGCTTGCGTAGCAAATATGTTTCAACCATGCGTGTGTGTCTGTGCGTTTGTGTGTGAGAGTAAAGACTACATTTCCACAAAGCTTGCACATATCTTCTTCCAGAGGTTTGTTTCTTGCCAAAAATTAAAAATTTAATATTACAGCTTAGCTTTCTCTTTGATCTAATATGTTGGTCTCATTTTTTTGCTGTTTTTTTCCCTTGTCTCGTGTAAGCCCAAACTGCTTAAGTTTTCTGTGAGTCTGAGTGAGTGGGTTCCTTTGTGTAGCAAGTGAGTCTCACTCTCGGGTCCCCTCATTATGGCTCTGCCCGTTCACTTCAGGTAGAGAATTTTCTAGCAGATAAGCTTTTGGACAAAAGATTACTCTTCCTTAAAGATATCATTAAATTTTATTTGGTCTATAATAATTTTATTGTTTCTGAAACCCTTTTCTGGTTCTATAATATGGTCACGATGCTTTTACATGCTAGCCTAAATTTAAAGAATGATTTCAGCCTAGGACATTCTGGCAGCATGGCTTCTAATCTGGCAAGGACTCTAGCATCATGTAGTTCCAAACACGTAATTTTCTTAAACAGTGCTATCAGATATTTAGATGACTTCCAAGTTTATTATGAAATAGTCTTTAAAAAACATTTACTACCAGCAGAAGCATATCTAGATAATAATTTAATCCATCGGGTGTGCATACCAGAATACACAACAGCTTTTGGAAAATGTTCCATGAGCTTTCAGATAAATTATCTCAACCCAATGATTATCCCTGAGCCCCCAGTGATACAAGGCGCTAGGCATGCATTTTGTTTCAAAACAGACTCAAGTCCGCTGGATTCCGAATGTTTCGAGTATTGATGGCCTGCAGATGCCTTGGTGTGGCGTTTAGGAACATGCTGTTGCTGTCCCTTCTCACGTGATGTGACTGAGGACTTCACCCAAGTGTTGCAGGGTGGGGTGTAGGAGAGACGCCAGACCGGAGGGGCCACCCTGTGGTGCGTGGGTCAGCCCACCCCCGAGAAGAGCCAGGACGCAAGGTCTTCTTACCCAGGGCCCCTCCTTTCCTACTCCCAGGACCCCTTGCCATTTTGATGAAGCGCGAGAAAGCAGATGTGGAATGGAGAACAGAGACGTGATTGAATCGAGCTGACCCTTTCTTTCTAGGGACCCTGGTTTTCGGAGAAGCAGGACAGTGTCCCCCATTTTTCTCCTTTTCTTCTTTTTTCTGCTCTCCCCCCCACACACTGTTTACATCTCCCTTGTTTAAATATCACCTCTGCAAAGACAGCAGTGGAGTGATGTTTGTTAAGAAAAGCATAGCATTTCATGGACTGTGCAGATTTCTTTAGAGTTGGTTCCTCCCGGTCAGCTCGTTCCAGAGGGACACCTGTGTGCACCTCTCGTATATTAATTATGATCATGAAACACCGTGGGGCCACTGCTAAGGTGTCACATTTGATGTCTAGGGTCCTGGAAGAACTCAGTCACAGCCACTGCGCTGTGGCTGTAAGAAGTCAAGAGCCAGAAGGAGAATGGTCTTTCACTCTGCAATTAGTTTTTAAGTAAAATAAAGTAAAAAAACACTCTGGCTTTTCAGCATTCCAGTGTGATAGTCACGGTTACCGTCTTATATCAACATGATTCTTGAGCAATTCCTTATCTGAGTTGGTATTCTTAAGTGAACAGTAGAATTTTAAGAATTTTGATGATCGTTGAGTCTCAAGGTGGCCTCCGGGTGGAGTGAACCAGAGCAAAGCGGTGCTTAGAGATTTCTGCTCCAGCCGCGCGTCCACCTCACGCGGTGGACTTGAGTATTCCTGGACAATGCAGTGGTGGTAGTTTTAAGCAAATGTGGCTTGAATGTTAAATTAGAGAGAAGTTTAATTATTGGCACATCACTGACAGTGACAAATTGTTCTTCTTCCTTTCTAGCTACACCTGGGAAGCTGTCGATACCAAAAATCACATGCTTTACACAATCAGTGTCTGCGGAAGTGTGAGCATGGCCCAGTGCGGGGCGTCCAGTGCTGTTTGCCTGCGAGACCTGAAGACAAACAGCTATCGTTCCGTGGGTGAGTAAACCGGTCTTTAGGTGGCTGGGAGTGCAAGGTCCAATTCTGCAAAAATGACTCTCTCTCTATATGTATAGCTGTCTGTGCAATTGCGTGTGGTTAGAATCCCCGATGTGCATTTTATGTTTTATCAGAGATAAAAGGGGTAACAATTGAAATGTGTACTGTGAGGTCAAATTAGGGTACTTCCGTCTAGAGAATCGAGGTTCAACGGGCACACCACCAGAGGCTTTGAAACACGGGACACCCGGCTGTTGAGTCAGGGGCACGGCCTCTTTTCCCTTATACCACATGTGCAAACACAAGGCCCATGGCCGAACCCAGCCCTCCACCTGGTTTTATCCAGCCCGGCACCTTGTTTCTGCCTGGCGGCGGCACCGAGCTCCTCACCCCTAGTTACGGAGTCATTACCTTTGCACAGTCATGAAATTACATTCGGTCCTTTGAAGGCAACCGCAGGCTGATGTGGCCCCCGGTGAACATGAGTTTGACACCCCTGCCTTAAATTGTCAAATAAAAAAAATGACATTAGCCAACACTTCAATAGCTGTTGGTGTGAATGAATCAAAATTAAATGTATTTTTTTCATCAGATAGGCAAAAAATATATTTTTGGTGAGCCTCAGAGTGTTAGTGATTGGTTTCCATGTGCCGTGAGATGGGAAGGGTTGGAAATCGCTGATCTAGTGGATACTGTGTAGTCAGCTGTTAGGAAGAATTATGCGCATTTGTACTTGTTGACCCAGAAGGATGTTTCCTGTACGGCTCTGCATTTCTCCTGCTTTCCTTAAGCCGGTCTCTACTTTTCTCCCTCCTTCACCTCATTCCCTCTGGGGGCCAGCCCTGTCTCCCCCTGCCCGATAATGTTCTTCTTCTGTGGCCCCTGGATTCTCACGCAGTCCGTATGCGCCGGGGGGGTCAGCAGTGGCCATCAGTGTTAGGGTCACACTAAAAATTAAGCAGTCCTAAGGACGGGCAGTCCTGGAGAAGAAAGTGTGGAGCGTTCTTCCCTATGGCTGGTTTTCTCTCTCCGTGTGCCCTTCTTTGGATCAGGGTCCCTTTCCCTGGGGAGGACGATGGGCCTGAGGGGACTGCCTGACCGGGTGCCAAAGTGCAGATATGCGGGGCAGACTTAGAAGGAGCTGGCGTCCTTGTCCCCGATCTGGCGGTGTGGACGTCCACCAGGGCGGCCTGACGGTGTGGTCGTGGTAAGGGGCAGTCCTGAAGCGGGGGTGGCGTGGGACTGGGAATGGGGTGGGACCAGGGTGATGCAAAGAGGGCGTTAGGCAGGTTTTTGCAGGGTATTTACTGTGGTCGCTCTGCTTGTCATTTTGAAAGGAAGTTCCCAACACTGTGTAAAAGGTCTTTTCAACCAGCCGTGTCGTAGTTTTGGCCAGTGAAAGTGTGTCTTCCGGTTTGTGGTTGTCTGGTAGAGTGTCACGGACACAGGGGAACACCAGGCACAAACAGGTCACAGGAGGGTGATTTGTGAGGCTGGCGTGGTCGGACAACATTTGAGAATGACCGGACCCTGGCAGGAGAGGGGACATATGCTGGGTAGGTAGTGGGTTTATTTTCGATTCTCCGCAGTGGTCGTGGGGCAGGTGATCTGATAAAGTGCGATTTTAGGAAGCCGGGCCGATGGAATAGCGGAGCTTGGTCAAAGGAGAGAGGCTAAAGGTAAGTAGATGAGTTAAAAGCTAAGTCACAGGGTGGCGTTGGTACAAACCAGCAGTGTGCAGTGTCACTTTCCTCCCAGGCACATGGGACATGCCTTCCCCAGACCTTCACACTCTCCTAAAGGGAGAGACGGTTGGCTAGACATGGTGACCTTCCCAGCACTGGCCCTCACCCCGCTGTCCTCAGCCAGGAAAGCAAACTAGGAGGAGTGTGTAAAGGTGACTTTGATTTAGATCTGATTTAGCTAATGTGTGTCATACAATAGACTACATTTGTTTTTGTAACTAAATTTCTCCTGTACTTCAGTACAGAGGTGTTATGTTTCAAGTAAAATCTCATTTAGTTTGTTCGGCAACTTTTCAGAGTAGGTCATTCATTGCCCCCATTTTATAAGCGAAGACCCTGAAACATGGAAGGACCACACCACTCGCCCGAGGTGGATGGAGCCTCTGCTCCTGCTCTGGGCCAGGGTGTCGCAGCGTCACAGAGACACGGAGACTGTGGCAGGGTGAGGACGGGAGCCGTGAGAGGGAGCTGCATGCCTGAGAAATGATCTGTTACGAATGTGCCACGAGGGGAAAAATGGGGAGTTTGAGAACAGCCACAAATACCGGAGCTCCCGATAAATCCAGAGGAATGGGAGAACTAGTGTGGCGACAGATCCAAATATATGTATATGAGAACTTGATTGATGTCATCAAAATTTGGGGTGTAATTTAGGTATTTTCCTGTTGGCAAACAGCATCGGCCCTCTCCATATCATGTAACAGAAATAACACATCAGTTAAAATCAAAAGTAAAAAGGCAACAGAACATTAGGGGAAAAAAACCGAGGAAAATAGAAATATAGTCTGGGGGAAATGAAATCCCTCCGTAGAAGACAAGACAGGCAGCCTGGGAGAAAAGCGGCAGTGCACAGAGGAAATCCTGATGGTCAGTGCCACTTTGTCAGCAAGCCAGGTGTAAGTGAAAGTCAAAACAATAGTGAAATCTCGCTTTTCCCTCTGTCAAACTGGCAGGAGTGGAAATGGTTGCATCATCCAGGGTTGGCAAGGAGCCCGGACACGGGCACGTTGGAGCCCTGCCGTGGGAGGGCGGCGTCCACAACCTTGCGGAAGATCGTTGCTGGTGTCAGTTTCATGGTGCCCACGGGGCAGCTGTTATCCTTGGGAATGAACATTGAAACCTCCACTTCGGTTTAAATGGTATTGCATGATTTTTGATTAAAAAATGAAGCATTAGTTCTTCCTTAGGCAGATGATGCTGTTACACAGGTAAATCTGCCAGGGTCTAGCAGTCGTTTTTATGGGGCCTGGGAGGAATGTTCGGTGCCTTTTACAGCCTGGATGACTCATCTCAACCATGTTTTAAAATGACCAGTACGTCATATAATATGTTCGATTTCTTTTTAAACTACTTCAGATGTGTGATCTGACAATTAAAACTTAAGCACTAATAATAATTCTTAGAAATGTAACACTTTAAACATAAACATGATGAACTCGAAGTTTCCTTAGTCTGACACTGTTACACTTTAAACCAATTGCTCAGTCATCACCTTTGAATGGGGAGTTGTGACGGTCAGTGTTGTATGTGTGAAAACACTGAAAATGTCCCCATTCCTCCTAGCCTCTTACATATTAGTACTGTGGTTTCAGTGCCAGGAATCTGAGGGTTAAAAGCTCCATATATCCATCTTGGAAAGCCTGTCACCAGCCCGTTTAACTGACGCAGCGCGCCCACCAGGGGAAGTGGTCATTGAGGTCACTCACCACCAAAGCCGGCAGGCTGTCTTCTCCTGGGCGACCTGGGCAGGACACGGGGAGCCCATCCGATTGTAGTTGCTGTGTGCAGCGCCTTCTCTCACTCACGAGCCGGCCCTGACCACAGCTGGCTCCTGTGCATGTGCTCAGAAACCTGTAGCCAGTATGCGGGCCGATCCCTGGACTAAATTTTGAACCTCTGACGGTCAGATGCGAAAATGTCTCCTTTTCCTCTTAAGCCCTGTGTTTTGTTTTTTTTTTTCCTTAAAAATCATGTAACTCTGTTGGACATTTTAAGGTATCTGGCTGAGTTTTAGATATAACTTATGTTTTTGCCCCATGTATGGTCTCTCCTAGTAGTCTGGCAATATGCCAGATTTTAAAAGCTATTTCCATATCCTACTTTTGTAAATCTTAACCAATAGTGGAATTGCTACCATCCATAGGTTTTTGTCCAATTTTTTTTTTGTAGCGTTGATTGTGACAAACAGTAGGCTGGGACAGCCTAACTACGGGGATGTTTCAGTAAATTATTCTGATTTGCTTGGTTAATTCACATCTTAAAAGATGGATGAATAAAATATTTAAAAACAACCAACACTTAATATTCATTTATTTGTAACAAGTACTCGAATGAATCAATCACTGAAACAGACAAAAACTCCTTTTCCACGGAGCTTACACAGAAAACAGCAGTGGCTGAGTAGTAGATTCAAATGTGATGGATGCCGTAAAAAAGGGAGGGAGGAGAGTTCGGAGCGCTGGCGGTCTCAGGGGAGTGTTCGCGGATCTTACTCGGGGACCTGTTGCTGAGAAAGCGGCATTTAAGCGAAGGCTTGGAGCTGAGGGAGGGAGTGAGTCTTGTGGCTCTTGGGCCGAAAGCCAGTGCAGGGGAGAAGGGCAGGTATCTGAGGGGGGTAATCGGTGGTAGCAAGAATAGAAATCTCTTTTTAAAGAGTGTTGATACAAAGAGCAGAAAAATGAGGCAGTAGCTTGGAGGGAACACCCGGGTAGAGAGGATTCTTTTTCAATTTGGTGACACAGCATGTGATATAGATATAGTCCACCTTGAAGGACACGACACAATAAAGACGCGAGTGGGCACTGAGAGAAGCCTTGCTCAAGCACATGGTCACTAGCACGGAGAGGCCTGCCTGCCTGCCTGGCAGGCTCTGACGGATGTGTTGGCGGGGCCCAGTGGCCGCGCGGCGGGCCCCGTAGTCGCCCGCAAAGTGGGGCTCCCCAGGCCTTGCAGCCTCAGCGAGGCCGAGTGGCGAGCTCGGCTGGGCTCGGCCGGGGACGCCGAGGGTTGCAAGCGAGGCCTGGCAGGCCCGGAGCGCGGCCTGGTCTGGTGGGCTCTGGAGAGCGCGGCCTGGCGCGCAGGGTCTGGATGACCCGGCGTGGCCTGGCCTGGAGAGCGTGGCCTGGCCTGGCGGGTACGGGCGAGCGTGGCCGGGCGGGCCTGGCGCGCAGGGTCGGGAGGACCCGGCGAGGCCTGGGTGGTAGAGCGTGGCCTGGCCTGGCGGGTACGGGCGAGCGTGGCCTGGCGGGCCCCCTGGTGCGCAGGGTCTGGAGGACCTGGCGTGGCCTGGCTGGTAGGGCGTGGCCTGGTCTGGCGGGTCCTGGCGAGCGCGGCCTGGTCTGGCGGGCCCGGGCGAGCGCGACCTGGAGGGCCCGGCCTGGAGAGCTCTGTCTGGCGGACCCAGCGCGCGGTCTGGCGGACCCTGCGCGGTCCGGAGGACCCGGCCTGGAGACCGCTGTCTGGCGGAATTGCCATGGTCTGGTGGACCCTGCAAGCACGGTTGGGTCTGGCGGGCCCAGGCGAACGCGGCCTGGCCTGGCGGGCTCGGCCTGGAGACCGCGGTCTGGCGGGCTCGGTGCGCGCAGCCTGGGCTGGAGGACCCTGCCTGGAGAGCGAGGCCTGGAGGACCCGGCGCGGTCTAGTCTCGTGGGGCCCTGCCAATGAGGCCTGTTCTGATGAGACCGGGCGAGCTCTGCCTGGTCTGGCGGAGCGGACCTGGAGAGCGCGGTCTGGAGGACACGGCGAGGCCTGGTGGGCCCTGGAGAGCGCGGCCTGGCGGGCCCGGTACGCAGGGTCTGTAGGACCCGGCGCGGCCTGGCTTGTAGAGCTCGACCTGGTCTGGCTGACCCGGCCTGGAGAGCGCCGTCTGGTGGGCCGGGAGTTCGTGGCCTGGTTTGGAGCACTCGGCCTGGAGACCGCGGTCTGGAGGACCGGGCGCGCGCTGCGCGGCGCGCTCTGGAGGACCCGGCGCGATCTGGCGGGCCCGGCGAGCGCGGCCTGGTCTGGCGGGCCCAGCGGGCGCCGCCTGGTCTGGCGGACCCGGCCTGGAGAGTGCGGTCGGGTGGACCTGGGGCGCGCTGTCTGGCGAGCCTGGCGCGGTCCGGCGGGCCCAGCGCGCGGTCTGGCGGACCCAGCGCGCGGTCTGGCGGGCCCAGCGCGCGGTCTGGAGGACCCAGCGCGGTCGGGCGGACCCGGCCTGGAGATCGCGGTCTGGAGGACTCGGTGCGGCCGGGCGGGCCTGGGCGAGCGCGGCCTGGTCTGGTGGCCTCGGCCTGGAGACCGTGGTCTGGCCGGCCTGGCGTGCGCAGCCTGGTCTGCAGGACCCGACCTGGAGAGCGCGGCCTGGAGGACCCGGCGCGGTCTGGTCTGGTGGGGCCCCGCCAGTGCGGTCTGGTCTGGCGGACCCGGCCTGGAGAGCGTGGTCTGGCGGGCCCGGCGCGCGGTCTGGAGGACCCGGCGCGGTCTGGCGGGCCCGGCGAGCGCGGCCCAGCCCATTTGGCGCCGTCCTCGGGAGCTGGCCGTGGGCCTGGCGTGCTGGCCGCCGCCCCGCAGTCCTCGCCCGGCTCTGGTCCGGGGAGGATGGCCAGGCTGGCCGGTTGCCGCGGTTGTGTGCCGCGGTTGTGTGCCGCGGTTCGCAGCGGCCTCTCCCTGAGTGCCCTGGTAGGCAGCCGGTGTCGGCTGCCTGGCGGAGCGGGCAGAGGAGGAAGATGAGATGGACCGGCGGGCGCGTTGCCGATGGGGCCTGATGCTGAGAGATGCCGGTGCCGCGCGCTGCGGCGGCAGAGCTTGGCCGGATCTCTCGCGGCCTGAGACCAGGGCCTTCTCCTTTCCTTTTCAGGGTGGACCCAGCAGTTATGAGGAGACCCCAGGAGCTCTGGGCACAGGGCCGGAACGGGCTGCGGTATGGGGGGATAGGAGGTGTGGGGGAGGGTCTTCAAGATGGGGGGCGGCTCCTCAGCGCCCTCTTGTGTCCACAGTGCGCAGCTTCCCACTGGTTCGCCCTCCCTGTCTCTTGGAGAGCAGGGATGTGGGGGCGCGCCGAAGCCCCGCCCCACCACCGGGCCCCGGACACTCCCACTGTGGGCGGGGCCTCGGGCGCTGTCCACTGGCGCTGTCCTCGGTCCCGAAGCCTCAGCAGGATTTCTATGTCCTTTTAGCAGAAAAACGATTTTCTAATGGACCTCGGGAGTTTCCGGCAGACCCTTGTGCGTAAGCAGGCAGGACAAAGAACCGCTGATCTGTCTGCTTGATGACGTGGGGCAGCTCTAAAACCCGTCACGACTTCTCCATTTGGCATCTTAATTTTCACCCCCCCCCCTTTTTTTTTAAAGTGATCTCAGCCTGCGTGTTAAATTGGGCCAGTTACACTCCTGAGTTCATGATATGCACTGATCATTAATCCTTGGACTAACCTTTTTTTGTTTGTTTGTTTTTAATCAGTTGTTTTGAATAACCACTGTTTCCCTTCCTCTTTCACTGGAAGTGACGGTTAGAACACGTCTACGGTTAAAGGTTTTATCCCTTCCCTTCCTTCCCCCTCTACCTCCCCCCCCCCCAGTGCGGGGGTATGTGATTGATGTTTTTACCCTTTTTTGGACTTGGGTGGTAACAACAGTATTAGGCTGCTGAAAATCAGCTCTGTTGTTACCTTTCACTGTGGTTCATTCCTTCAAACTCATACACAATATTATGTGGCTCTGCCAAAGTGAATTTACTCTTCCATTGATGGGCATTTGGGTTGTTTCCAGATTATTGCTAGTGTGAAATACACGAGCTGTTCTTTCATTTGTTTTCTGCTACATGTGTGCCTGGTTTCCTCTGGTGCGTATGCCTGAGATTTGAATAGCTAGGTCATAGGGCCCATGAATATTCAATTTTAGGGCGTAATGCCTTGCTGACTTAAGGTAGTGGTTGTACCAGTTTACACTTCCAACAGAAACACAGGAGAACTCTCGGGCTGTCTCTCCTCTAACATTTGGTGTTTAATATTTGTCAGTGGAATTGCTGTAATTGGTATGTCACGTGGGCTTGATTTGCAATTCCTTGTTCACTAGTGATGTTGAGCATGCCTTCATATGTTTATTGACGCATGTTTCCTTCTCTCTGATACGGCTGGTCGATTTTATTTTATATTCAGTAACCCATTCACCTGACCTATTCTTTCTGTCTAGAAGCTTTAGAATCTTCTCTTTGCCATTGGTATTAGAATTCATCATACTTTGACTAGGTGTGAGTTCTTACAAACATTTTAAATTGCTCACCTTTTGTGTTCTCTGTCAGAGGTCATCTATTGTCTTTTCCAAGAATTATAATTTTTTTGTTCTTTGTGTGTGAGTATATGTATTCTTTGCCAGCTCCGTGTATCTTCCAGTTTATAACTTGTTTCTGTTTTCTTTAAGCTATTTTTTGATGAATATACATTTTTATTTGTATTTATTTTAAAAGTAACTCAGATTTATTGATATTTTTGTAGTTAATGCTATATTAAATATATTTTTACACAAAGGCCAAAAGATAATTAACTGTATTTTCTATTAAGAGTTTTAAAGTATGTTTTTTTATGTTTATGTCTTTAATTTCACTTAAAATTGGTTTTTGTATATCAGTAGTAGGTAATAATCTGATTTTACCTTTTTTCTCACATGGATTGCCATTTTGTTTCCATTTTCATTCACTGAACGTCCTGCTTTGCTCACTGATCTGTTCCTTGTGCCACAACATGAACTTTTGATTTGCACAAGTATCTTCTCTGTTCTCGTCTCGGTCTCTATTCTAGTCCATTTGTCAGTTTATCTGCTCCTGTGCCAACTACCATCATGTTAATATTATATGGATGTTTTATTCTGGATTATTACAGTAATGCCGCAGGCAAAGTGAGACACGATCATCCTACCTGTGGACCATTCCAAAAAATTTTGATTTTATAAAACATATGATGGGAAGGTATTGAAGCACTTTAGTAGCTGAGTTATAGATTCTAAATATACTCATGTATTGGGTTGGCCAAAAAGTTCATTTGGTTTTTTCATAAGATGGCTCTAGTAGTGCTTAGTTGTCTTTAACTTCAAAGCCATTGGTTAGACTGTATTGTGACAGCTGTCATATCAGCATGTGTTTAAAAAAAACTTACCAAACTTGGGGAATTTTTGTGCAGCCATTTTTATGTTGAAGATGGAAGAAAATATGCAAAATTTTTGGCATATTAGGCTTCATTATTTCAAGAAAGGTAAAAACGCAAGAAGAGATTTGTGCAGTGTATGGAGAAGGTGCGGTGACTGATCGACCGTGTTAAAAGTGGTTTGTGAAGATTTCGTGCTGGAGATTTCTCATTGGACGATGCTCCCCGGTCGGGTGGACCAGTGGAAGTTGATAGTGGTCAAATGGAGACGTTAATTGAGAACAGTTAACATGATACGATGTGGGAGATGGCAGACATACTCAAAATGTCCAAATCAGTAAAGCTACTGGTGAAAATGAAAAATGTGTCTTTTATTTTTGCAGGAAAAAACCACACAAACTTTTTGGCCAACCTAATATCTTTGGTGATCACAATGATGCAAGAGGGATGGAGTGGGGGGTGTTGAGGGACGAGATGGGAGTGGCGTTAAGGGGACCACCGAGGGGAGGACCGGAGTGCAGGGCTGAAGTGATAGTGGTCACCATAGTAACAGACATGGAGAGATGTGGACGGATTTGAAATGGAGGCAGAACTAATAGAACTTTGAGCTGTATTCAGTGCGACAGATGAAAGCTAGGACTCAGTGTATTGTGTTTGGGGCTTGAAAAGCTGGGTGGGTGGGATGCCATTCCTGAAATGCAGAATTCTTGGGAAAGAATAATTTGTAAGTTTATAAGCTTTTGGTTGAATTATAGCACCACATTTAATTTGTTTGTGCTGGAAAATAGCTTTATGGTTATGAATATTTTACAGCTTGTTCACGTACTTTCCTTTCCAAATAGGTGACTCCCTTTTGAAAAGTGCAACCAGGACTCTCCTGGAATTCAACACAACAGTGGACTGTGATTCGAAGCCAAGCCCAAAGCACAGAATCCAGAGTAGCATCACCTTCCTATGCGGGAAAACCTTGGTGAGTCCGCAGAGTCACTCTGCAATACTCCCTTTGCTGAAACGTTTGCCCCTCGGGAGGTCCAGCTACGGTATTCCGGAAAGACTAAGTGAAAAAAATTGAAAACACAAGCAGACAAAGGCCCCAACCAAGTCACCATCACCATTAAGAACCAGTAAGTAAGAAATCTTAAGTCTGAAGTTACCACTTTGAAGCGAAACTTGATCCACATCCTGTATAAAACCATCAATCAAAGTGAGTAATGTGTTTAAACTCAAAGCACTGTTTAATGTTTATTGCAGGCATAATTTTACTTTCTCTCTAAAATCCCTTCTCCCAGCATTTTAGTATGACAGTTTTTAGGGCAGTGTATTTATTGTTTAAAAAATATTTTTCTTTCCTCACTTACATGGAATTGGAGAGATGGTGAGCGGTCTGAGACGCCAGTTTTCAGTCAGTGTGCCGTGGTGCATTGGTGCGCCTCGAGACTTTTTAAAACATGCAGTACCTCGGTATTGAGTCACGGGCACTGCCCTCTCTTCCCTTGTCAAGTGAAAAAATAACAGCCAAACCAACAATAGCCGTCTGGTGTGAATGAATCCAAGTTATACCTATTTTTTGGGTCAGATTGGCAAAAAATACATGTTTTGGTGTGCTGCAGAGTTGTAGTGATTAGTTTCTGTGTGCCGTGAGATGGGAAAGGTCAAAAGCTGCTGGTGTGGGAGAAGAGTTTGCCGGTGGGTAATGGGACTCCCAACCTTTTGGGCTACCGCTGTGTCGAAAGGGGGCATAATGGTGGAAAGTGTGATTTGTTCTTGCTGTCTGCATAGTGCATGTAACTTCTAAATGTTAATCTTTAGTGTATAGGGAGGACGTGCAGTAATGAATGGCTGGCTTTTATGAAAAGCATTTTGTCCACAGAGCCTGTGAATGTTGTCTAATCAGGGTAAGAACCCAATTTAGAAAAACCAGGGTGAGTGAAAGTCCTGTGGCTTCCAGATTGCTTTAACACACCGCTGCAGAATTTGCCGAGGCTGTCGGGCCCTCAGGCTCTCAGTGCCTCACCTCAGGAACCTGACAGGTCATGGTTATGTGTGGACCAGCCTGTCGTTGGCACTGCATTGTCCACGTTGAAACCTTGGGGAAGAGCGTGTTTGCCGTGCTAGGAAACACAGAAGTGTACATTAGGGAATCAGCTAGATGCTGTTTTAATTTTAACCGATCTCCTTCAAGAAATCTGTGTTTGCCATAAACGGACCAGAATCGGGAAGAACTCCGGATCGGCACATGGGAGCATGAATTCGGGAACCGCCCAGCCAAGCTGTGCTTCAGTTTGGAGTTGGCCCCGGCTGCGGCGTGGGGTGGGGGAGGGGCGCCAGCAGCCAGCCTGGTGTAGGAGCTCAGTCGGGCTTGGGTGGGCCTCCTCCCTCGCTTACAGGAAGCGTGAGGTCACATTTTCTGGCTTTGATTTTGTTGGCATTTGCTGAAGAGAACATTTGGCGCTGGGGAGGATGGGGACTCGGAGGATCACTTCCCATGAGTTTACTGTACTTGCATAGTTGGGGCAGTAGAACAGTTTTGGCCCGATCATTCCAAAATTCCAACATGATTTCGTGAAGCTTTTGTCTCAGAATGTTGGGGTTGGGGAACTTCTCGATAGCTTTGTCGAACTAAACGGCTGCGTGCTCCTAGCCACCCCCTTGTTACTGCTTTTAAAATTTTCATCTACCGTTTTGAACTTAAAAAAAGGAAAGTTGACAATGTGCGGTATGGTAACTTTTAACTTGTTTTCAATAGGGAACTCCCGAATTCGTGACCGCAGCAGACTGCGTGCACTACTTTGAGTGGAGGACCACCGCAGCCTGCAAGAAAGACGTGTTTAAAGCTAATAAAGAGGTAACGAGGGCACTTCCAGGTCACATGCTTGTGCAGTGCACTCTGGACCCCGAAGGCTCAAATACTGGGGTAGAAACCTTTTTCGGTGTCCAAGCTCCATTTGAGCAGGGATATCATATGATCGAATTGTTAAAATTGTTCTGTGTGGCTCTTATTTTCGGACAGGGCGTTTGAAATAGTGCAGGGTATGATTGAAATAGAACGGCCCACCCACCGAAGGCAAGTTAGTTCTTGCTTCTGTGCAGCCTAGCAATTGAGTGACGTGTTAGAACGGGGGTCCGGTGTGCTCCCTCTACCTACCGGTGCCATCTCCACACTTCAGGGGGGCTTCGGGACAGTGGTCCAGGCCCGGTGGCCCGAGCCCACCAGGTTTTTGCCAGCTCTCCTCAGAGACTAAATGACTGTTACCGCTCCTTCCATTCTTTCCGTGGTGTGCTGTCAAGTCATTCTCGGTGATCCGTGAAGTATCCTGGTCCTGGGCTGGAGCTCCCGAGGCTGGCTCTGCCGAGGGGCTCCCCTGGCTCCCCTGGCGCTGGAGGAGAGCGCTCGGCAACCCCCCATCCAACTCTCCCCCGGCACCGCCCGGGCCTCCCGCCTGCTTTCCTGTGCTTGCACGGACGGCAGTGTCTGTGGGTCGTTACTCTCTCTTTTCACTGTTAGTTTTCTGTTCTGAAGGATCAAGTTCAAAGTTTCAGGAGCTAGGAACTGACAAATGGGAGTCGTTTCCACGGATGGTCTGCTGCAGTGTCATTTAGGAAGGGCAAAAAGAGATCTAATACTTTTTAAAAAGTGAAACTGGAGGAAATGATGCGTAACAAAGGGTCACAGAGTTTTCACATCTGGCCAACCCGTGAGAGACGGGACAGGCCACTGCTCGAGGAGCGGAGGCAGGACGCCGAGTCCAGCAGGGAACGTGAGGCATGTTCTGCGCACCGGGTCAACCGTCTGAGGAGAAGCGAGGCCACAAGGAGTGGCCTGATCTTAGGGGATCGATGGTGTGAAACTTAAAACTTGACGTTTTCATGGAAGGCTGAACTGCTGACATCCGGTCAGTGGTGGGAGAAGCCGCTCAGAGCTGCAGGGCTGTCCTGCTGCCCCTCTGGGGGGGCCTCGGTCCTCTCGAGGCCCTCGGGTGTCCGTTGGGGGCCCCCGCACCCCAGCCTGACAGTGCTGCCGCCATTCCTGCTTCAATGGAGTGTCCCCCTCTCTTGCTTTGCCGAGTTGACAGTTACCTCTCCCCTGGCCTCAGGAAAAACGGCTTTCCAAGTTAAAGAAAGGAAGAAATAGCCATCTGTTTTTTTTTTTTTTCTTTTGCTTCACGTTGTAGGTCATGAGTCACAAATGACAGCCCCCCACCCCGTGGGCCAGATCCTGCCTGGGTCTGTTTGCACAGTCTTTACATTTTTATAGGGTTGTAAATAGACGAAGAAGAATACACAGCAGAGACCGACGTGACGTATAAAGCCTAAAATATTTACTCCGTGGCCCCTTTTAGGAGAAGTGTGCCCTGTACTAAATTGGTCTTTTGGGGCAGAGGGGGATGGTGGAGCTATGTTTTCTCTCTAAACAGGGACATTAATGTTCCTTAGACGCCGATCTAATGGCGCACGAGAAATGTCGCGGCTTGTTCTCTGGGTCTGGCCGGCAGCTGGGGCTTTTCCCTTCAGTTTCTGTCTAGTGCCGGCCTGTGTGGGGCTGAGCGGTGCACATTCCGTTGTGTTTGGAAAGGCTTCTTGCCACCTGGAGCCCACGGACCAAAGGTGTGGAGGGCGCATCCCTGCTCAGGGGCTGAGGAGCTTCCTGCCTTTGAGTGCTGGTGCACGGGACGGAAAGGGGGAAGAGTGTGTGGCTGTGTGACTGGCCTTGCTGTCACCGCTCGTGGATCTTGATAAAGCACACCCGCTTCCCCTGTGTCTGGCAGGATTTGATCGCCCCTCGCAGGCTAGGGTGTAACTTCAGAAATCACGTTCCACGTTTCACGTACTTATAGAGCAGTGATTCTTTTAAATGCAACCCAGACTGGGTTTAGGGTCGGTGTCCTTGGGATTTCCACACCTTCTTTCTTTTGTCTCCTTGGTTTGTTTGTTGGTGTCACTCTGTCAGCTCTGGGACACTTTGACGGGCAGAAATCAAAACTACCAGCACTCTGAGGCCTGTTCAGGGGGTTCTTCTTGAAGGGTTTTTGTAGCCCATTTGTTTAACGCATCACGGATGTACGCATCCCCACCCATGGCACTCTCGGGAACGCGGAGCAGTCCGAACGTCCCCGACTTACATAAACACGACTCACACGCAGCATTCACAAGGCCGACTCAGTGCATGGAGTGTGCAGCTGGCAGCCAGCCCCACCCCGGCCGCCACGTTCCCGCTCTCATGAACGTCCCCATTGCTCCGCTCCGAGGAGCAGGAAGTGGGAGGACTTCCCCCAGGAGCCTGGGCTGCTTTCCGACGCGCTCTCCAGTTCTGTGGGCGCAGTGCTGGGCGTGTCTGTAATTCCTTCCTGGACTGGGGAGCCGGCCAGAGGTGGCTGGCTGCCTTGAGCGGGGGTCTGAGCCCCATGCTTACTGGAATCCCTCGAGCCTTGTGTGGACTTGAGCTCGGTCAGAACTGCGTGTTCTTTCAAACGTGGCCCCATTTTTCTTTCCCTCCAGCCTCGGGCCAGCTTCTCCCTCTACATTCTAGGCTTTCATTTTGTAGCTGGAGAGGTAGCTTGTCTCTTAAGTCTAATTTGTCAGCTCGAACCGCTCTCGAGTTCGTGTTCCTGTGTTATCTTCCAGGGAACGACAAGCTTTCACAATTCACAAGTGTTACGCACGCTGTGGTTTCTGCTGCTGGGACCCAGGCACGGTCTGCAGGGGTGCCTTTATTTTAGCTTAGATGGTTTCTTTAAAGCATTGTGGGGGCACCTTTTCTGTGGGGTGGAGCCCAAGGCTTGGCCTCCGGCCCTGGGGAGACCTCACTGGCCCCGTCCGTCGCCCCTCCCAGGACCAGATGTGCCAGCTGCCCCAGTTTTAGGTGGGGTCTCTGATCAGCATTGCAGGCCATGGCAGACTTTGAGGCTCTGGTCGCGTCGCGGTCACTTGTCCCTGAGACTGCAGAGGTGCACGCTGTCGGCTTCCTCCATTAGCTCTCCATGAAAGCTCGGAAAATAGGCCGGGGTGGAGGTTAGTGGGTCAGAGTGTTCCTGCAGGTTCCAGAGCATCTTTCTAAGGAAAAATGGAAAGCTAAATGGTAAGCAGTTAACCTTTGTAAATGGACCTGCATGTGAATAGCTTCAATCAAAAAGACAAAATTTTAGGAAAATGATGAAAGAACCCAAACTACTTTGAAATGATTGCAGAGACTATGAGTTTTTAACATATTTTTTTGCACGGGCGACTAAAATGAGGTCAGTGCGTTATTTTGGAAATAAGACTTACAGGGGTGTTTCCGGCAGAGCCACAGACGGCACTGGGGGTGATCTCTGGGTGCCTAGGGCCTTTTTCGGTCCTGGACACCCCTGTGGGCTTGGTCACTTTGCCTTCAGAAATAGGTGGAGCTATTAAAGCATGGGATCTTGCCAGCTCTTGTGGTTCCTTGGCATTTTAAAAATCGGGCTGTTAGTTCCCAGGGACGAGAGAGTGGCCACAGATGAATCCAGGGAGGGTAGAGGAGATAGATGCCGGGAGGAGTTTTTTGCCTTCCTGTGTCACTGAACAGATGGCAGGCTGTGGGCACCGTCCTCAGCCTTGCCACTGACAACATCCCAGTCCTCAGGGAGCGTGCCTCTGGAGGGGGCGGACAGGCCAACACGTTGGTGCTGGGAGGACAAAGGTGGGTGGGCACGGGAAGTGGAGAGGCTGCTGCGTCCAGTTGGGGTGTCGGGTCGGAGAGAGCCGTGTGGTGACCTGGGAAGTGCATTCCGGGGAGAGGGAGGGGGGACATTCCCTGGGTGGAGCTGCGTTCCCTGGAGGCCGGGAGGCGTCTGTGTGCAGTGGTCCACGAGGTGGGAGGGGACCTCGTTCTCAGCGTGGGTTTGGGCAGAGAGTGATGCGACCGACGTGATTTTAGAAGGACCGATCGGGTGGTCGTGGGGACCTGGGCTGCAGGGTGGGGAGGGGGCTTGTCATTGGAAGCAGGGACTGGTTAAAAGTGACCATTACAGGCCAGCAGTTATGGTGGTTTGGACAGAGGGGTGATGAAGTGACCCTTGGGGTGGGCACTGGTGTTGCATGATGTCTGTCGCAGGCTTTGCTGAGCCGCTAGCCTTGAGAAGGGGCTGAAGACTGACTTTCCTCTCCTCTCTCCCAGGTGCCGTGCTATGCCTTCGATGGAGAGTTCAAGAAGCATGACTTGAACCCACTGATCAAGACCAGCGGGGCCTACTTGGTGGATGACTCAGACCCGGAGTCTTCCCTGTTCATCAACGTTTGCAGAGACATAGGTCTGAGTCTCGGGGGGCCTGCCCCGGGGCGTGGGGTGGCGGGGGGTTTCTCAGGAGGCTTCCACGTCTTTGCCCTTCCTCCCGTGTTGCCCTCCTCACCTGTGTGGGTAGCCATGTCACCGTGAGGCCCTCTGAGAAAGCTTTTGTCCCAACAGGTGTTCTCAGTGCCCAACCCACCCCTGGGCCCCGAGGAAATTCTAATTCCATCTCAAAGTCCCTCCAAACTATTATTGGTCCATGCAGTGTGTGTTCTCTGCCGGACACTTTGGGTTTCAAGGTTCTCAAGTACCTCGTACTTCCAGTAAGGTGGGGGGAGAGTGGATTGATTCGTGTGCAGGCTGCTGCAGACGCTGGAGCCGAAGGGTGTTGGAGTTCCTGGGAGGCCGAGGGAGCTCGGGGGTCTCCGGACATCCCCCGGGCTCTGCGTCCTGAGTCCCTCAGCTCTGAGCTGCAGGCTGGGGACCAGGGGGAGAGTGTTGCCCAGAGCCGTTTGGGCACTTGGTTGTGACACATATTTTGTTCTGGGATGACATCGTGCCTGGCCTGCTCTGAAGGTGCCAGCGCTTGGGTGGGAGTCTTGGAGGTGTGGGGCCTTCACCTGGAAGGGCCGGGAGAAGTCTCGGCGAGTCCCCCGCCTGTCTGCCCTGGCCTAGAAAGAAGCCAGCTCGCCGTTCCTCCGGGGGCTGCACGTTGTCAGCCCTGCACGCACTCTGGGCTGTGCCTGCCGCGTCTGCCGGCAACGAGGGCGCCACGAGCAAACTGCGCTCATAGTGAACTAAGAAATCATTGTTTTCTGGTTTCCTTACATTCTTATTTCTCACACAGTTCATAGGACTTTGACCTTAGAAAGGTTTGGGGAAAATGGTAAAAAATAAAGTCATTATGTGAGGGTATTGCTGAGTAGTGGGTACATGCAGATTAGTGTACAATTATTCTCTAAACTGTACATATACAGCGTGCACCACTTGGCTTATTATTTCCAGACAGTTCTAGAAAGTGATGCCTTCACACACATGGTTCCCCAGGAGTGACCAGTGACTGTTTCAGATTTCGTGAGTCGGGGTCTCCAAGGACTGCTTGTCTTATTATTTTAGAAAAGCGTAGATAGACAAAGTCTCTGTCTTCTGTGAGCCTATAACACAAGTTTGATTATAAAGTTGAAGAGGCATGTTAGATTATTGAATTCTGAAGTAAGTCGCTAATTTACTTTAGAAAACATTTGGATTCCTGTTTTGTTTTGTTTTTTAATCATTTAGAGGGTTATTTGGCTTCACTGGATGTATTCTTACAGACTCATTTTCTTCCTGGTTTACTGGCCATTGGAGTTGAATTTTCAGGCAGCTGGACTCATACTGGACGCGCCCCAGCCTTTGCCGGGACACTCCGCGGGCCCAGGACACTGCTCCGAGCCTCAGGCTGGGTTCGAAAGCAACCCTCCCAGCCCTGTGGACAGTGGTGGTGGCTTTCCTGCCATCTAACTGAGCACGGGGGCGGGGGCAGGCGGTGCTGGCCTCGCCTTTTGTCTCCAGGGACCCAAGCAGTCTGTCCCCTACAAGTCATCAGGGGTGAGGACAGCGCCCAGGGACGCAGTTTTGTCACACAGGCTTGAGTCCTGAAAGGTGTCCCTTTTATCCTCTCGTGGCTTCCCACAGCAAACTGGAGAAGACACGGTGGCCCCCCCTTCCCCGCCGGCCTTTAATGATCAGGCTCTAATTACGGCCCATGTCCGGTGATGTTCACTCCTGTGTTCTGAACCCCTGGAAAGTGCTGGGCACTCACTTAGGCACCAAGTCACCTGACCAAGGGAAGGGCCTGCTCTTTTCCAGCTTGTGGTCCCGTGGAAGATGCATACACGAGGGACCCCAGGGCGGAGTAAGGTGTCAGGTGCAGCAGATGACGATCGCAGTAGTGTGGTGTGTGGGGTGCAGTGGGGGAATCGCGGCTTGGCGGCCAGCGGTCTGTGTGTACAGTATGAGCATTGTTTCAGGCACATCTAGCAGGTGCTTTTCCTTATCTCTGCCCCACCCCCAGACCTGTGAGGTGGCGCGTGGCAGTGAGTGTCCTGTGGTTAGAACCAAGTTGTGGTGGAGGTCATTGGTGGGTCTGAGGTTTGAACCCAGAGCCGCTGTGGTTCTGTCTCAGACCTCCTCACCTTCACACAAATCCACGCAGTGCCTGCATTTTCCAGTCTGTGTAGATTGGAAGGGGGTGATGCGGAGTTAGCATGTCTCCAGGAGGAGGTGGGGACATTCCTTAACTTCAGTGAACATAATAACCCGTTTATAGGGTGGCTCTCAGGTACCAGGTGCAGCGTGGGCACCTCGTATTCCTTCTCCACACCCCCTGTGGGTGGGGGTGCTTCACTCATTTCATGACAGTCAGACACATCACTGGCTGTCCAAGGTCTCAGAACGGAATGTGGCCCTGCCTCTTTTCCCTCTCCGAACTCCAATCTTATGTTACTTATGGGGACTCTGAAAAAATTCAGTCCTTTTCTTAAAGGGACCCTGGGCCTAAAGTTACGTGTGATTACCACTTCTGATGCGTGATCAGTGAATGGCCTGTGTAATGTTTTACAGACTCGCTACGGGACTCCAGTCCGCAACTGCGTGCCTGCCCTCTGGGCACTGCTGCCTGCCTGGTGCGTGGGGGCCAGGCCTTCGACGTCGGCCGGCCCAAGGAGGGCCTGAAGTTGGTGAGCAAGGACAGGTCAGTGTGCGGCCAGCATTCTCGTCATCCTCAGCAGGCTTCCTGGGGTGTTGCTTGCGAAAGGACAGCCCCCCACGTGCTTGCAGAGTCGCTGGTCATCGCCATGAGTCACCCTGGCTGGCGCGCTGACTTGCAAATTGCTTGTCTCTTAGAGCCGTGGGAATGTGTGTCGGGATCCAGCCACACGTGTATTACCTCCTATGACAGCCCCCGGAAGGTGTGTCCTGACGTGCTGGCCCAGGCAGGCCGCCCGTGTTTATCTGTTGTTTATAGGCAGCATCCGGAGGGCGAGGGGCAGGAAGGGCCGTCCACTGGCTTCCTTCCAGGGTGTGGAGCCCGCTTCCTGGTGGGGCACCGCAGCCCCTGGGGTCCAGTGCAGGGCGCCCGGCTCCTCACACAGACGCTCCCCTCGGCCCTGGTGCCCGACTTGGCGGGGAGCTGCGTTTCCCAGGTCCACATGTGAGCTTGGCCTGAACCGAGTGTCTCCACTGTTTCCTGGTGGCAGGGCCTGTGGCAGCCACCTCGCCGGTGCTCTGGTCCGGCACCGGTGGCACGTTGGCGCTGCAGCCGTACATCGTCCCCAGAAGACACCGGAGCACACCTGGGACTTAAAATGCTGGGAGGCCTCCGTGTGTCTGTGCCAGTTTGCCGGGGCGGCTGTTCACGGAGGCCCGTAGACGGGGCAGCCGCAGCATGGGCAGCGATTTGCTCTCTGTCCTGGAGGCCAGCCGTCCAAGTGGTCAGCAGGGCTGGTTCCTCCTGAGGCCGAGGCCCTTGGCTTGTCGATGGCTGGCTTCTCCCCGTGTCCTCACGTGTGTTCTTCCTTGGGCCTTACTCTCTTCCTCTTACAAGGACACCAGCCACATCTGATTAGGGCCTACCTTCCTGGTGACCTTCCCTGTATCACTTAGTCATGTCTTTGAAGGCTTCGTCACCAAACACTGTCATGTGCCGAGGTGCTGGGCTTAGGGATTCAATGTGAATTTGGGGGTGGGGCAGGGGACATAATCCAGCCTGTAACATGGTCCGAAATGACCGGCGGGTGATTTTTCACACCAGGGGGACTTTGTAAAATGTGGATGTTGACGAAAGCCGAGCTCGTCTTCAGAGGAGAGGCCGGCCGAGTGTGTTTGGCCATGCTGGCAGCCCACCTGGGGCCCCGGCCTGCGGGGAGCCCCTCCTGCCGCCCGCACGCCCGCTCCGAGGCCTCCAGGTTGACCGGAGACCGTGGGCGCGTGCTCAGAAGTCGCCGTTCGCAGAGGAAGTGGCCGGCAGCAGGCTGTGTGTGTTTCGTGTTGTGGGAGTATTTGTAGTATTTGTTTTACTCAAACGGCTTTTCTTAGCATTTACATTTACACATCGATAGTTCCATTTATTTTTTAAAGACCGTAGCACTTAGTGAAGTTTACTTTTAAATGGTTACTTTCTTCCAATGGAAGTGAATTGAAGTTGGACTGTGTGGGGGCTTCTTCTCCATTTGAATCTTCCTTCTGCCCCCGCGTCCCCACGTGAATGCCCAGGGCACCAGATGCATTTGAATGCCTTTGGTACTTTTGTGACACTCACTTCTCTCCACGTGGCATCCAGGCTTGTCCTGACTTACGTGAAAGAAGACGCGGGGAAGCCAGACTTCTGTGAGGGTCACAGTCCGGCAGTGACCGTGACATTTGTCTGCCCATCAGAGCGCCGAGAGGTGAGTGGCGTGGCCTCTGTTGCTCCCCTGCTGCGCGTGGAGCCTGCGAGCACGAGCTGGGGCTGGGGCGGGGTCCTGGGCTGCGTGGGTGCAGGCACCGGCCGCATGGGCGGCTCCCGGGAACGGCTGGCTCTTGGCTGTACCTCAGCCCCCTGGAGGGGCCTCTGGAAGTCAGTGTGGGCTGGGGCTTGGCTCTGGGGTCTCGGGAGATGGCTCCAAGTGGCTCACGGACAGATTTTCAGAGTGTCCGTACTTCATGCTGGTTTGGATGGTGGTTGGAAAAGCCCTCCGCACTACCCCAAACCCTGGTGTCCCGGCTGTTATAAAAGCCGACGTGCTCCCAGAAACACTGTGAAGAAACTCGGCAGACAGATGGGGGTCCCGGTGGAGGAGGACCAAGGCCAGAGGCGGGCTCCGTCCTGCGTCCTGGCCGTTGACACAGTTGGACACAGCTGCAAACCCCTTTAGGGTAGGGGTGGCTGGGCTGTCCCCTGCCAGGGCCCAGGGGTGTTGCACACGGCGGTGGTTAAGTGGCAGAGCAGACGTGGGTGTCCGCGGCAGGGAGTCACCCCCGGAGAGGAAGGATAGGGCTTCCCTCTAAGTGACGTCTCCTCTCCTGACAGAAGGACCTCGGAATGGAATCCTTTCGCTGGGGGAGCCATACCGCCCCTCCCCCTGAACACGAGTGCCATTTGCTCTGGTTTCGGGCTGGCCCCTGGCTTGTTTTGTGTGCTGGGTCACGGGGACAGACATTTAGTCCCGGCCAGCTTTCCATTTTGTGTCCCGGGACTCCCAGGGCCCTTGGTGTCAGCTTCCAGAGGACCCGAGTGGCTGAGTAGCACCCGTGTCGGTTCCGACTGGGACGTTGAGGAAGAGGGGTCTGTGCTTTTTGTTTGCCCCACCCGTGGGAGTGGAGGTCTTGTGAGCCCAGTGAGACACTCTGGGCTGGCAGTGTGTCCCTTTCTCATTTCTTCTGCAGTCAGTGAGGGTGGTCTTCTAGGCTCACGGGGGAGCGGCCGGTTCTCCGCCCCCGCCGGCCTTCTCCCCGGGGTGCAGGGTGGTTGTTGATGCCCGTGCAGGGCTGCCGGGCTGCCAGCGAGGGGCGCCCGTCCTGCTTGTCTGCTGCCTGGGCAGGACGGGGGTTACACGTGGTACCTCAACACCTGAAGGTTTATTTGAGCATTTACGCTGGCTCATCGGATACTTTTAGGAGCTGGGGTTTCTGGAAACGTTTACCTTGTCACGTGAATCTTTTTTAAAAGGCTTTATTGAATTTACAAACTAAAGTTCACCTGGTGTAAGTGTAATTTCACAATTATTGCACTTGGTGTATTAACAGACTTGGCCGGCCATCGCCCCGTGTAAGGTTCGAGCATTTGCCCCACCCCCACCTTCCGCCACCCTGCACAAGAACCCCCGTGTGGTCACCCCCTCCTGGTCGCCGCCCTGCCCTGGCAGCCGCGGGCCTGCCTCTGGCTCCAAGGACATGCCTTTCCTGGGCGTCTGGTAGACGCGAGCCGTACACTGTGTGGCCTTTGTGTCCGGCTCCTCTCGCTTGGCGCTCGGCAGCCGGTCACCAGACGCCTGCCTCTCCAGGGCCGAGTGGTTGCAGCCCGGTTTTGAGTCAGACAGATGGAGCTGGACTTGTAGCTCCGCAGCCTGTTCATCACACGGCCTGTGTTTGCGAGCCCAGCGCTGAGGACACGGGCCTGGTCTGGGCCAGGCGCTGGGTCAGCACGTGCAGGGTGGCGGTGCTGAGGATCGGCGCAGCTGTGCCTGCCGCTGAGCGCAGCAGCAGCAGCTTGTCTCTCCCAGCGGTGGTTAAAGGCCACGCTGCCCTGCAGGGAGCTGGGACCTCGGAGCCTCAGCATCCCGTTCAGACCAGAGGCCCCTGTGGGGGCGGCTCGCTGCCAGAGTCCAGTGCTTCCCCCAGAACGGGAGCAGGTTACGGGGTGGGGGGTGGGGGGTGAACCTGGCACCCCTGCCACAGTCTCAGGAAAGGGGTTAAGAGCCGTCTTCCTAGATGCTCACGTGCACAGCATCCCCTCCCCACCACCGGGGCAGCTGGCCCAGGCTCCACACCCAGCACCTCAGGTTGAAAGGCGTGAACAGCCCGCAGGTCCTTCGCAGGTCCTGGCTGCTTGCCGAGGTTGTGGGTGCCGGGTGACATTCAGGGCGGGAATGTCGGTGAGGGATCAGAGGTGAATAATCGAAACATGTGAAGAGCTGTTAGGATTCAAAAGCGGGAGCAGAAAAATGTAAAAACTCAGCAGCTTGCGTGTGAGCCTTTCAGAAGCATGGAAAACCTGTACTCGAGCTGCATCTTCAAAATTGAATTCTGTGCCTTTCAAACCGTTCCTGCCAGGGCACCATTCCCAAGCTCACGGCCAAATCCAACTGCCGCTATGAGGTGGAGTGGGTCACCGAGTACGCCTGCCACAGGGACTACTTGGAAAGCAGCAACTGCTCTCTGAGCAGTGAGCAGCATGACATTGCCATCGACCTCCACCCACTTCGGCAGGACAGAGGTGAGCTACCCCGTGAGGGCTGGGTGACACCCCCCCCGGGGCGGGTGGTTCAGAAGGAAATTGAGGTTGAATGAAGTCGAGTTGTCCCTTTCTTAACACTTAAGAATGTGACAAAGCCCCTTCTCTTCGTCCCCTTCCCTTCAGGTCATTACTATTCTGCAGACGGAAAGGAATACACGTTCTATCTGAACGTCTGTGGAGGAATCGAAGCAAACCCCAAGGTCTGCAGTGGGAAGCAGGCTGCAGTCTGCCAGGCAAAAAAGCCTGATTTTACTCAAGTCAAAGTGGCCGGAAAATTCCAGAATCAAACTCTCCGGTGTGTAAACAAGCTTTTCTGTGCTTTCCAACTGCATTGTGTCTATCCTTGTAAAACATAACCGACTTCCCTTGTCCTCTTCCTCCCCCCTTGTCCCTGAAGCACAGCGGCCTCCCTCTGGGCCAGGCATGGGGCCTTCTGTCACCAAACAGTGGGATGTTTTTCCTGGCTCGACAATGGATCGCTTCTGTTAAATCTGCCTGCTTTACGACCCATTGTTTGGAAGAAACCATACTGTGGGAGAGTCATTTAATTAATTAGCTTACAGTTGACGTGGCTTTTGTGTTTTAAAATGCATCTTTCCTAGCTTTCATTTTTCTTGGGCACTTTCTTGAGAGTCTGAAATGCCATCGGCATCACTTAGAAGTTTTAAACCACTGAGAACACGTGGTCAGTGCAGTTCTCGTGACCCTTACGGGTGGTTATCGTCACGACCCATTATGAAAGTAGTCCCCTGGAAATAAGGACTGTCCCGCGTCCCTCAGGTGAGACTGGGTGTATAGCAGCTGCTGGGCGCTTCTTGGCCTTTATCTCTGCTGTACAAAGTCCAAAAAGGAGAGCGGAGAAACCTTTGCTCCCATAGCCAGACCTTGGCGCTCTCTCGCAGCCACTACTGCTTTGAAGGAGGACGCTGAGCCCGCACGTTTGCAGCTCGTTTCCTTTAGACGCTCTCCCCAGCTGGCGAGAGCCTGCTGTTCTGTGTCAGTAACGATTCGTCAATGGTGTGCGAAGGGCTCAACGTAGAAATGTTTACAAATGCGAGTTCCTGTCTTGGTTCTGCCCAACACACACGTACGTGTCTCACCAAAACCTAGGTACTCTGACGGAGACCTCACCTTGACCTATCTCGGAGGTGACGAGTGCAGCTCGGGCTTTCAGCGTATGAGTGTCATCAGCTTCGAGTGCAACGAGACTGCGGGTGAGTGTGCCCCGGGGTGGGCAAGGGTGTCCTTGGGCGTGGAATGCTGAATGGGGCAGTCACACAGCCTGCTTCGGGCGTGGCCACCTCCCGTCCCCAGACGAGGTAGGGGTGCCCAGCCAGCGACACACACATCCTGTTTCCATTTTTCCTCTGCACTCTGTTTGTTTTGGGAGCAGGCCCAGCCCTGGGCCTGCGCCGGGACAGAGTTTCTGTCTTGAATTGTGGCTCATACCAAAGTGTGTGCAGATCCAGCACGGTGGGTCTGCCATCCAGCTTGGGGCGGCTGCAAACACCAGTTTGCTTTTACAAAGGAAGTTTCAAGGTGAATCTCGACGGTGGTGGCCTGGTGGTGGAGGCTGGCTTTGGTTTTTTGAGTGTCCAGGAGATGCTTCCTCGCAGTCACGATGGCCCTGGCATTCCAGAAAGCCACACCACCCTCCCTGCTGGAGGTCCTGGACCTGGTTTGCATCTGCAGGGAGGGGTGGCATCCATCATCTCCAGGAACCTGTCCTGCCTGTGGGCCTCCGAGCTGTGGCCCCAGGCGTCCCACCGGCTGGGCCCTGCCGTCCCCACACAGTGGCACTGGTGCACACAGCTGCTGTACCCGCAGGGGGAAGGTGGTCAGAGAGTTTGTGAGCTGGGCCAAGCTCTGACCAGCTGCCTGGAGAGGAGACAGACAGGCCTTTGGCCCCAACGCCTGTCTCCTGCTGTCTCCTCTGCCCTTGGTTCCTGTCGCTCCGTGGTGGCGTGGCACCTCCTGACCCCCCCGTGCGCTGCAGGATGGCTTTGGAGCCTGCAGCTGGAGCCCTTCCGTAACTTGCCTTGTTTCAGTGGAGTCATTCCATACATGTTTTATTAGTGCCTGCACACTTGACCCTGTGAGACTGCGGCTGCCATGACGACCAGGCTCCCCTGGCGTGCACCGTGAGCAGAGTGAGGAGAAAACTCGTGGCTGCGGCTCGGGGGCACATGGGCCGGCCTGGAGCTCCCGGGCAGGGCTGTGGACTGGTGCTTGCCAGGAGGGGGGGCTTGGGGCCAGGGTCTGGGGTTCAGGTGGCCCTGGTGCTGAGGCAGTGAAGGAAGAGGGGGCTCTGCAGGGGGAGCTGGGTGGCCGTGGGCACCTGTCTTCGTGGCAGAGGGGACAGCTCAGGCCAGGACGTGAGTGCGGGTCGCTGGGAACAGGTCCAGGGCAGATATTTAGAACGTAGCTAAAGGTGACTCTCAACAGAGGAGTGGGTCCATCTTGTGAAAGGCTCGTGTGTCCTGTGAAGAGGTTGACATTACCCAGAAACAAGTGTGAAGTCCCAGGGACTTTCACCAGGCCAGTGACATGGCCCTGCCTTGGGTGTGGCCTTCCGGTGCATCTCCCATCGGGTCCCATTGCCCTCCTCAGAGTCTCTGTTTTGCTTGGCACTCACCTCCTCCAGGTTTCTAGGAGGTGCTCTCCGAAGAGCTGCCCTGCTGCTGTGTGTCCCCCTCTGGGACAGGCACCGGCTGCTTACTGTGTCCGCAGGCTTTCCAGCCCGCCCACCCGCCTGCCCCTTCCCCGTCCAGCCGGGCCCCTGGCCGGCCCCTCTGCTGTGGGGTGACATCTGCGACCCCAGCCTCCCTCGCTGCTCATCACCTCTTGGCCCTGCTCTGTTCTGGGAGTGTCACAGATGACGTGCGTGGTTGAGATCTCCGTGAGTGCACTGACCTCACTTGGTCACTCTGGGAACCCAGATGACTGACCCTGAGAGACCCCTGCAGGTGGGGGAGGGCGGAGGGACGTGGAGAAGGGGGCAGAGCTGGGGGCTCTCGAGGAGGAGGCGTAGCCTTCTGGTCCACAGGAGCTGAGGCGTCAGGAAATGCGGAAGGCTGTGTTTCCCTTTTATTTTTCATTTAAAAACACTCTATACATTCCAGTAGAAAGAACATCACAATGCAGATTTCTATCCCTGCCACTCAGATTTAATGGTGATTGACGTTTTCCCAAATTTGCTCCATGTAAACCGCATGTCACCAGCAGGACATAATGTTCCACTCCAACTCTGATTTGACAAAATTAACAGCGATGCCCTAATGCCACCAACTTGGTGCTGAGTCAGGCTGCTTTCATTGTGGTGGGGACAAGGAGGCTCGACGGAGCAATGTCGTGTTGGTGGGAGATTCTGAGCCTGCTCACAGCTGGACCAGGAGGGTCGAATATGGAAGACTCCTCCTCACTCTGCCTGACACGTCAGAGCTCGGAGCAGGCTGCGCGAGCTGTGAAATTACTCCATTTGTTTTCAGAGAAATTCCTTTGGTGCCTTCTGTGTTTGTCGGGTAATCGTAGTAACGAGTAGTAACGAGTTTTTGCCGGGGGCTGGTGTAAATTGGCTGTGGGTGTAACGTGGTTTATAGTTGAACTTGGGCCTCTGGGAATTATTTGTGCTTATGAGTCTATGGTTCGTGCATTTCAAGATACAGTGTTTATGAATTTATTCTTTTAGCTATAATATATTTTTAACCATTTGTTTCATTAATTTATCTCTAGTTTTATGTAACGTGATGTCTTTTTCTTGTTAAATAAGGGAATGAGAGCATTTTTGGGGGAAGAGTAACTTACCAGGACAGAAAGTTACTAGTAAGAAACCCACAAATGTACGTGTCTCATTCCATTAAAGGTTTGTTTTCTTCAGTTACGTTGCGGGGGGGGGCCAGAAGTGGGGGCTTTGCTCCTGGCGGTCACTCAGGGAGCTTTCCACTGGTGCTGCTCCCTGTGGGCTTGGCCCCCAGGGACTCTGCAGGAGGGGAGCCGTTGCATTTCACGGGGAGCCTCCCAAGCAGGGAGGCTGGAAATGCCACTTGGCCGTGAGCCTAGAGGGACAGTTGAACCCGTGTTGTGAGTAGGCGGCGATGTCTGTGTTACAGAGGATGGAGGAGCGGCTGCTGCCGCTGCTCAGCCAGAGAGCGGCTCGGTGCGCCTGGGAGAACCCACTTCTCCATCAGCCGTGTCGTGCTGGGAGTGGGCTGCGGAGGCAGGAGAGCCAGGCTGGTGCTTTGGGAACTGTGCGGTTGACAGAGAGATGCTGAAAAGCTAACCTCAGTCCTGCCCAAGGATGGACAGTGTCGGCCCCTAGAATGGGGGGTCCTGAAGGCAAAGCCCCCCGCCCCCGTGCTTCAAAACAAAGCAGTGTGGTTTAGCAGAGGACAGTGCTGGTTTATGAGCCCCCTACACTAGTTTTATGGGGTTAAATACGAAGGCAGAGAAGATGGGCCCCACTGGTGACGGTGTCAGCGCTCCTCACACAGCATGAGTAGGTTTCCGATGCAGAGCCAGCTCCGAGGTAGGGGTGGGTGCTGGAAGCCTCCGAAGTCTTATGTAATCGTTTGCCAGCTCATCTGGTGAAAGACAAACACAGCGAAGGCTTCGAGTGTGCAGAAACAGAGATGTTTCCAAGGAAAGAGAAGATGCCAGCAGGAGTCAACTGTCTGAACCATGTGGGTGGGAAAAGGGGCAAGTGAGCCTCACGCTCCTTTGCAGTGGGGGCGGCAGGGGTCCTGGCGCGCCGGGGGTGGGGGGTGCAGTGCTGGGTTGTCAGGAAGGAAGCTGGGAGCAGGGCTGCTTAAAGAGTTCGGCGTGGAGTGCTTCAGAGAAAGCAGCAGCACCCGCAGTGGGGTAAGGAAGTACTGCCTCGTACTCAGGGGCCTGGGTCTGGGGCCAGACCATCTGGATTTGATTCTGGGCGCCTCTGCTTTCTAGCTATGAAACCGTAGGCACATTATTTAGCCACCCGACATCTACTAAATGGGGCTGAAGTTGTAACTGTGCCATAGGGTTTGAGGTTTAAATATGCCAGTTTTTACAAAGCACTGAAATCAGAGTCTGTTTCTACACCCAGCCCCCGCGCAGCACGGAGGTGCCCGCCCAGTGCCTGGCTCAGCCCCTGCTCAGTACTGGCTATTACAGCTATGGCTTACGCGATTTATATGTTTCATAGAGATTGCAATGGAAACATTCGCCTTCGGTACAAAATACTGTTTCTCTTTCCTGGAGAACGTTGTGCACCTCAGGGCATGAAACCTCAAGAGAGGCGATCCCGGGCGGTCCAGGGAGAATGCTTAAACCGTGGGTGGAGGTGGGGGGAGCTGTGTGCCCTTGGCCACCTGCCTGGAGAGGCGAAGACAGAGGCTTTCCAGTGGGGGGGGGGGAGTCTGAAAGCTCTCCGAACCCCAGGCTGCGTGGACCCAGGGAGTGACCCAGGAAGAGCTGAACTGTGGGGGCTTGCAGTCAGGAGCTCCGCGGGGCCCCCTGGAGGCAGTGGGCCAGGCGGAGGCCCTGGCCCAGACGGAGGCTCTGGCCCAGACGGAGGCCCTGGCCCAGACGGAGGCCTGGGAAGGAAGGGTGCCTCCTGGTGGTGTGCCTGCGGCCGGGCGAGGTGGCGTGGACCTCGGTACGCTTCAGCCGGCAGCAGAGGTAGAAATGAGCGCACTCTCACTTCCGTCTTCAGGGTGAGCCCAGGGAGCTTGTCCTGCTCGAAATGATATCATGAAGCTAGTGGCCCTCCGGGGACTGGGGCTCTGGCCTCCGCCTCCCCTCTGACGACTCTCAGTCTGATCACAGTCCTCATTAGCACTCGAGTCACGTCCCCACCGCAGGTGTTGTAGACAGTCTGAAGTCTGACTGAGACCAGCTGCCGGGGTGAAAGGGACCCGCCCGCCTTTGAGGGATTGGGGTGATCTGGAACTCAGCAGAAGCCACTCTGGTCTCCGAGCCCCTGGTCCCGGGCCTTCGGGACGGGAGTTTGCGTATCTGCGAGTCGGGCCTGGGGGTCCCGTGTGCTGCGGCCTCCCGGCTCCTGGGACATGCCTGGGTTTGGCCGCTTCACGGAGCCTTTTATTTTTCCTTTGCAAATCGCACAGGTAACGGCGGGAGAGGGGCCCCGGTGTTCACTGGGGAGGTGGACTGCACCTACTTCTTCACCTGGGACACAAAGTACGCCTGCGTCAAAGAGAAGGAGGAGCTCCTGTGCCGCGTCGCCGACGGGAGGAAGCGGTACGACCTGTCGGCTTTGGCTCGGCACTCAGGTACGGCTCCCGCGCTGGGTCTGGCTCGTGTGTAAGTTTGTGGGGACGTTGTCTTCCCTCCTGCCCCACGGAGACGTTTGGAAGTGCTGTTACTGCCACTTCTGTGAGCCCCTCGGAGGGTGCCCTTTCCCTCTCTCCTTGTGGTGCTACGGTTCTGTCCCTGGTCAGGGCACATGGCTGGGGTGCGGGTTTGGTTCCTGGGTGGGGTGCGTGTGAGAGTCAGCTGGTGAGATGTTTCCCTCTCTTTCTCCCTCCCTTCCTGTCTCTCTGAAAAGAAGAAAATAAAAAGGACACTGAACCAGGGGGCAGGATACCTGTGTTGAGGTTGGCATCACGGCTCCCTAGGCGGGTACTTCAGCCCAATCTTACCAACGGCCTCCTGTGTGCCGGGCCTCGTGCAGGGTCACCGGGCACCGTGTTTTGTTTTTAAATTGAACTCTTGTTACTGAGCGAGTGGATGTTGCAGGCGCCTAGCATACATGCGTGTGTGCACATCTTTGGGTGGTGGTGGATGTTCACTGTGACGCGTGGCCTATGGCGATCAGTATGTTGTGCACTGAAACAGATACAGTGTTACAGGCCCGTGACATCTGAGTGGAAACAGTTTAAAACTGACTTGGAAGTGGGCAGGATTGCCACCGAACATGGGGCCTGCTGGCTGAGAGGGTGAAGGGCTTGGCGCGGGCTGGGTCGGCCTGTGCCTCGGACCGTGTGCTTCCTCCTGCGTCTCTGCACCGGGGTCAGCAGTCCCCGTCCGGCGCCCTCATCCAGGCCGAAGCGAGGACGGGTGTGGGAGCCCCCGGGGCTCCGTGCAGTGTGGTGCCAGGGCGAGGTTTGTCGCAGAGGCTGTGTGAGGCAGCCGTGCTCATCTGCACTGGTGCCTGTTGAGCATCTGTCACGTGCGGGCACGGACTCCATGCTGCGGATCCGATAGCAAACCTGACGAGCTGGACCCTGCCCACGGCCGTACAGCAGGGGGCAGAGCAGACTGACCAGTGAGAATGGGTCTTCTGCAGCGATAACTGAATCTAGTTTGGGGAAGTTCTAGTTTTATCTCTTTAGCAGCCCTGGCATTTGGTCTGTGTAGAAGTTGCACCTGCGAAGCGGAGATAATACCTGCAACAGAGAGAGGGAGTTGGCTGAAGTGACGGGTACCGGCCGTGGCAGGAGCTGGTGCTCTGAGTCCCGTCTGGTGTGGAACGTGCGGCACTGGGAGGGGAGCCCTCCTTGGGGCGGCGCCGGAGAGCTGGCCTTGCACTCGGGGCTGCGGGAGCAGACACTCTCTGTGCTTTGCACTTCAGCGCCCGCCCAGCGGTCGGGAATGGTGCCTGGCTAGCTCTGTGTGTTCCTGGAGCGCCTGGCTCTCTGCAGGGTGGGAAGAGCACACACCCCGATCAGAGACTGGGTGGAGCACTAGTGTGGCCGTGTCCAGCCTTGGCCCTCCAGCAGGCTGCCGGCCTTCCCCAGGCCTCAGTTTCCCTGAAGCTCAGTTTCCCTGGACTTCAGGTCCCACCCCAGCCTTTTTTGAAAAACAGAACTGGGCCGGCCTCAGCCTGGGGCCTGGGGGGTGCACCCGTCCGTCAGGCACCCTCCTCAGCCCTGCTTCCCCACCCACGGTCCTGGTCCTGGTCCTCGGTGGCTCTCAGGACGCTGTGCAGAGAGAGCCAAAACCCTCCTCCTCTCGCTGGGACATCCCCCTGTGTCACAGCTCTGCTGCCTGCCCTGCTCTAACGCAGATTCTCAGAGCCATGCCCGTCTTGTTTGCCCACACGGGTCTGGTGGGTCCCTCTGGTTCGTGACAGTGGGTGGCATCCCCCAGCAAATGTGACTGTAGCAGCACCATTGACACCGGCCTCCAGGCTGTGAGAGGGGCATCTTCATGTCGTGCAACTTTCTCCTTAAAGCTTTTATTTATTTGTTTTTAGAGAGAGGGAAGGGAGGGCGAAAGAGGGAGAGAAACAGCAACGTGAGAGAGGAGGATGGAGTGGTTGCCTCTAGCACGCTGTCCAACCGGGGACCGGACCTGCAGCCCGGGCCTGTGCCCTGACTGGGAACTGAACCAGCGACCATTGGCTTCGTGGGATGATGCCCAGCTGGCACCGCCACACCAGTCAGGGCCCTGTGGTCTCCTTCAGAGAGTTTCCGTTCATTCCCTCGGCCTCTGTCTAGGAGCTGGTCTGCCTTTCAGGATGACCCTTTGGTTTGCTGTGCTGCCCCAGCTCTCTGCAGATGCCCCTCTGCCCGCTGTGGAGCTTCGATCTGTTTCTGTCCGCATGTGGCTGGCTCATGAGCTGCTGGTGTTCGGGGGCCGCACACCTACCTCTGAGCACCTTTGGTGGCGCTGAGTTGGCCCCACACCGGCCTGCTGTGCGGGAAGGTGGCTGGCTTCGGGTAGCCGGACTGGCCTTCTCGGCGGGCCCCCGATGGCCCAGCTGGTGCCGCACTTGCTGTTTGGTCTCTGATTTCATACTGTGGGCCTTGGGAGAATTTCACTGTCGTCTGTTCGTTTTCACTGCTACGCCTGCTCTTCAGAGGAGGTGTGGGGGTGGCTTATTTCTGTCCCGTTAAATGAGAAGCGGAGCCTCTCGGGGAGGGCCCGTGCCTGTCACCTGCGCGGTCCAGAACCTCGGCGGCCTGGTGAGAGCTTCGGGCCTTTCCCTCCCGCTCACTCGTCCTTTATAGTGAGACTCACGGGGACACCGTCACTGCTTTCAGCTAAAGGAGTTTTGTGTTTTGTTTTTTGCTTTTTTTTTTTAACAGAAAAGGAACAGAATTGGGAAGCCGTGGACGGCAGCCAGAAGGGAACGGAGAAGAAGCATTTCTTCATCAACATCTGCCACAGACTGCTGCGGGAAGGCCGGGCGCGGGGCTGCCCTGAGGACGCGGCCGCGTGCTCCGTGGGTGAGTGCCGCCCTGAGCCTGCTCCCGGCCTGGGGCCTCGGGCGGTCTCCCTGTGGTTCAGCTCAGCCTCACACACTGCCTTCAGCAGATAAGGGAGGGCAGAGAAAGTAGAGACCGGGCTGCCGGTCGTACCAGGTGCAGCCTGGGGTGGGGACCGTGGGGAGCCCGAGGTGGCCCCAGCCTTCTGAGGGGGGTGGGCCCCGTGCTAGGGACGGAAAGCATTCTGTTGGCAAAGGCTCGGTTAGGAAAGACATTGCTGGGACTTGGGTAGAGCTGGCTTTGGTATTTTAAAAGCTTTACATTGTCTGGAGTTGTTCAGAAGTTAAGGCGTTGGGAATCTAATATTGTAGCCTTCATCTGAGAGCACTGTCCCCTCAGGTTCCTTCTGCCACGGTCGGTCGTGTGGGTTGGGAGCTGTCCTGTGGGGATGGCTCAGTTTGATGTGCAGATGTAGCTCATCGTTAGCTGCCACTTCAGATGCAGGTTGGAAATGACAGGCAGGGGAGTCATTTGAATCTCCTACAAGCAGGGAGTGAGGCGTATGCAGGGGGTGGGTTCCAGGAACTGCCCTGCGCTTCAGAAGGGTGCTGCATTTGCAAGCAGCCCCGGCACAGCCACACCTCCGTTTACGAAGGACGTGGCACAGAGTTCAGAACTTTGCAGTGGAAGTTGGCCGAATCGAGCTTCGAGTGGCCCCTTCTGGGCTTGCCAAGCAGGTTTAGTTCCTTTCTGCCGTGTTCTCGGGCACATGCCGGCTTCTCGTCTGTGCTTTTCCGAGCCCTGCATCTCAGGGAGGCAGAGGCCCCCCGGAGCAGGGAGCCGTGTCACTTCACCGGATGGGCGGGCAGGCCAGCTGGCCGTCTTGCCTCCTGCGGGCTGGGGGAGGTGGTTTCCTCCTCGCACTTTGCTGCGAAACTTGGAGGTGGCTGCCACCACCCGGCCAAACTTGTTACTCAAGAAAATCTCACTCACCATTTGGTCCTGGCCGGGCCCGGCAGGCCGAGTGAGGGGCTGCGGCACACCTGCTGGGTCTTGGTGGGTTTTTGGGGTCTCTTTGTGTCACTGTCATTTCTAATCATGCCTTTTGTTTTTCCCCCTTTCTGGTTTCCAGTTAAGAATGAAGTTAAAAGTCTGGGCAAATTTGTTTCCCCTCCCACAAAACAGAAAGGAAATATTCAGCTCACTTATTCAGATGGTGACGTTTGCGGTGATAACAAGAGAATACAAACTAACATAACACTTGTATGCAAGCCGGGTAAGCATTTATTTTTTTAACGTATTTTATTGATCATGCTACTATAGTCCCCGTTTTTCTCCCTTTATTCCCTCCACCCTTCCAGCAATCGCTCCTGCCCACCCTTGGTTCATGTTCATGGGTCGTGCGTATAAGTTCTTTGGCTTCTCCATCTCCTGTATTATTTTTGACACCCCCCATCTATTTTGTACCTACCAGTTATGCTTCTTACTGCCTGTACCTCTCCCCCTTATTCTCCCCCATTGGCACCCGTTGGCACCCGTTGGCACCCTCCGTCTCCAGAACTTTCCATCTTCCCAGAGGGACACTGTCCCCATTAAACTTGAACTCACCTCCCCCTCGCCCAGCCCCTGGCAGCCACCCATCTCTGCCTCCGCAGGTGCGACCGGCCACGTGCCCGGACTCGCCCAGCGTTCGTGGGACGGGCCGTGGGACGGGGGGGAGTTGGTGGGAGCGGTTGTGACGGTCTCTTCTCCCCACTGACAGGAGACCTAGAAAGCGCCCCCGTGCTGAGAGCCACCTGGGAGGACGGCTGCTTCTACGAGTTTGAGTGGCACACGGCGGCCGCCTGCGTGCTGTCCCGGACCGAGGGCGACAACTGCACCGTCCTGGACGCCCAGGCAGGTGCGTGTCCGAGCAGCGCAGGCGGGGGTTGGCACCTGGGCCTGCTTAGGTATCCGAGGACATGCTCACCGATGGGAGAGAGGGCAAGCAGAACATAAACGCTCGTGTGAGAAACATCGATTGGTTGCCTCTTGCATGTGCCAGGACCGGGGACCAAACCCGCAACGTGGGCATGTGCCCTGACCCAGAATTGAACCTGTGACCTTTTGCTCTATGGGGTGACACTGCAACCCACTGAGCCACACCAGCCATGGCTGCTTATTAGGCTTTAAAAAAAAATGCTTTCTATAAGTGTTTTAGAACTCACCAGCTTTACTGTTTGACCCAAATTCCAAAAATCTGAAGTTTGAGGTTTGAGATGATGATAAATGTGCCTTAAATTCCTGGTCACAGAGGTGTGCTGAGTGCCAAACTTGGGGGTCAAATAAGTCACTTTTGAAACGGCTTTTCTCACGAGTTTCTGGCCAAGAAACTGACCTCAGGGAGACCCTTCTCGAAGGTCGTTGTGTCGTGCTCACCCCACTTGGGACACACTGTGTGGTGGCTGGCCCGGCAGTTCTGGGCTCCGAGTAGAATTTTTAGGTTTATGGTGTGACAGCGTCTCCTGGCGATGTGTCAGGAACTGTGCTTGTGGTCACCAAGGGACGTGCCTCTTGCCTGCCTCTTCGGTCTCTGAGCCCCTGGGAGGCCCCGGGAGGGACGTCTCCGCCCGAGGCCTCGGGCTGCGGTCGTCCTTCCTGACTGTGGTCCTACCCACCTTCCGTCCGTACATTGTTTGTGCTCTTCTCCAGGGTTTTCTTTTGATCTGTCACCACTCAAAAAGAAGGACGGCTACAAGGTCGAGACCGAGAAGTACGACTTCTACATAAACGTGTGTGCCGCGCTGTCTCTGGGCTCCTGTCCGACAGGCTCGGGGGCCTGCCAGGTGTCAAGGAGGCAAGTCCCCACGCTCGGTCCCGGCTTCTCCTTAGTGTCCCTTGTGGCAGCTGTCTCATTCGGGGTGGGGGGTCCTCTGCAAGCATCCCAGCCTCACAGCGAGCCCTCAGACGCTCAGAGAATGTAGCCCGCCCACCAGAGGAGGATGCTAGGAGTTCACTTTCCCAGAGAAGGGGCCGCCGCACCCTTGCAGAAGAGGAACGGGTTTACCTAACGCCTCTCTTCTGAGTAGCAGGCTCTTCTCAGCTGTGAGATAGTTCAGTGTGTGTTTAAATCGCATTTCCTCATTCACTAGTTCCAATGAAGTGAGTTGTACCACCCTCCAGCTGTGGGTTTGGGCTCCTGAGTGGGGGTGGGGCGGCCTGCTCGCCCTTCCTGGGCTGACAGATTCTGATGCAGGGTCAGGGTGGTCTGTAGCCCCGGGTCCTGGCCACGGTGGCTCACCCACCCTGCACATCGGGCCCCGCCTCCATCTTTTCTGAGAGGCGTTTGCTTGTTGTAGTGATAAGAAGATTTGGAGCTTGGGACAGAGCAATGCTAAGCTCTCGTATTACGACGGGATGATCCAGCTGAGCTACAGAGACGGCACGCCCTATAATGACGACAGGCACACACCGAGAGCAACGCTGATCACCTTCCTTTGTGACCGAGACGCTGGCGTGGGTGTCCCCGAGTATCAGGTAGGAATGTGCTGTGTGGATGCGTGCGTGTGCCTGTGCATGGCACCAGGGAGAGGCCGTCAGCCTGGAGGAGGCAGGAGGACAGAGGGAAGCGTTGCCACGGGGCCGGTGACGTCTCTGGAGTGAGACGGGGTTCTCGCTGTAGGCGAGGTAGGAGCTGGGGTGTCCCTGGGGGCAAGCCACCAAGTTGCTCCCCAAGACTCCACCAGCAGGCCTGCCTGCTGTGGCCTTTTATTCAGAGCTATTTTTAATCTTGTTTCCTGGTCAAGTTATCGCCTCTTGAGACTTAACCTTTTTTGATTTGCTCGGGCCCAGGGCAGTTTTCGCTTTCTGAGCTGTTTATTTAGTGGGCTGCCTGCCCCCCGAGGTAGCCCACCAACCCACCGGATTCGAGTGCCAGACACCCACACGCAGCAGGACCCTGCCTTGTTCCCACGGAACGCGGGCTGGGTTTCCACTGTAACCTTTTACTGGGTACTCTTCCTTTTAAGAAAAAGCGAGGTGGGCAAAGCTGTCTCCTTTCCTGCGGTGTTTATTTATAGAAAATGTACCTGTCACTGTGTTAACGCCGGTTTTGCGTAATCGTCCTCTCTTTGCCGTTCCTCCTCCTCTCTCCTGGTCACGTCATGAAGGAGGAGGGCAACTCCGCCTACAACTTCCGGTGGTACACCAGCTACGCCTGCCCCGAGGAGCCCCTGGAGTGCGTGGTGACCGACCCGTCCTCGATGGAGCAGTACGACCTCTCCAGGTGAGGGGGCGCCAGACTGCCCTTGGCCCTGGCCTGGGTCCAGGGGGCGCACAGGTCGTCTGGGCCTCGCCAAGGGGCGTAGGACTGAGCACTGATAGGGAGCCCAGGTAGCCCTGGGGTGTGCAGAACGCATTCTGATAGTGCTCTGGTAGCCTTTGTGGTATGAATTGGTTTTGGTCACGGAGCCTCGGTTTCAGCTGCAGCACTTAAATCAACGACAGCGCAGGAGTGTGGGGGCGGTGTGAGTCGTGCCGCACCCCGAGTTCAGTGAGAGCGTGTCCGTGGGTGGGCGTCACGCGTCACAGTGAGCCAGTCTCTAATTGACTGGGAAGGCGTGTTTTGTTCTGCATTTCTCTGACTACTTAGAAAGGAATTGTCAGAATGAAATCCGTGGGTTTCAAAAACATTCCCTTTGCTTTGAAATGGCAGGCTAGCGAAATCCGAGGGCGGCCAGGATGGAAACTGGTACGCCCTGGACAGCGCGGGCCCGCACAACACATGGAGGAAGTACTACATCAACGTGTGCCGGCCCCTGAGCCCCGTGCCGGGCTGCGACCGGTACGCTGCCGCCTGCCAGATGAAGTATGAAAACAATCAGGTGAGTCTGCCCGCCCGGCCGCCTGCTTCTCCCCGCACACCTGCCTCAGCGGGACCGTGCGGCCATCTCCGGGCTCCCAGATCACGATGTGGGACCGGCCGCTGAGGCCACGCCTGGGTGTGACCCTGCGTGAGTCCCCGTTCAGGTTGCAGTCCCAAACAAGCCTGGGCGATGATGGCCTCTGGTCTCAGTGCGGGGGGCAGAGGAAGCTCCTGGCAGTGTCCGGCTGGCCCAAGTTCAGAAGTGCCTTTGAGGGACCAGCAGGCATCCAAAAGCTCTCGCTCCTGGCTGAGTAGGGAGAGTTGCTGATCCACACGTGTGCCGAGCCTGGGCACCGGGCTGCCTTCGCTGTTGGGCAAGCATGGTCACCACCAGCACTTTGTATGTTTCCTTGTGCTTTTGCACGGCGAGTCTTGAAGGTAGACACATGCTTCATGAACAGCAGCATGTTGGGAACGTCGTCTTCCTGGCCTGTGCTCCGGCCGCTCCGGGCGACCCATGCGCTGTGGTGGAGCAGGGACCCCGGAGCGTGTTCGCGTGCCCGAGCGTGCGCACTGTGGGAGCAGGTCAGCGCTCGGCAGTCACGGGTGCAGACTCGTCTCCTCGTTCACGTTGGTTGCCCCAAACCTGCACCCTCGTCTCTTTCCTGCCCAGAGGACCAGAGGAAGGGACTCCAGGGGGCGGGCAGTGCAGGGCATGGCACTGCTGGTTTCAGGCAGCATGGACGGGGTCTGAGCCACACCTCTGATGCTCGTTAGAGGGATGGCCTCGGACAGGGCCGTCCCTTGTCTCCCTGCTGTGAAGCAAGGGCGCGGGGATCTACCAGTGGGAGTCGTGTTGAGGGTTTAGGTCCCTACTCGGGTGAGACCCATGTTCACAGAGGCACATGTTTCCCGTACGTGAGAACGCTTGTTCTGTGTGCAGTAACGCAGTGATCACGGCGACTTCCTGGACCACAGCCCGCGGAGAGTAACAGGGCCCGTTGCGCTAGCGATGAGGTCAGGGGGCCCTGACCAGTGCGTCTGTTTGCAGGGCTTGTTCTCCGAAGTGGTCTCCATCAGTAACTTGGGAGAGGCCAAGGCGGGCCCCTCGGTGGAGGAGAGCGGCAGCCTCCTGCTGGAGTACGTGAACGGCTCCGCCTGCACCACCAGTGACGGCCTGCAGACCACCTACACCACCAGGATCCACCTCATCTGCTCCAGGGGCAGCCTGGTAAGGCGCCACGAACGCGGCTCTTCCGGCCTCTGTGACCAGGACTGGGGCGTGTCTCCTAACCTCGGTGAACGAGTCGGGGGTGGGTCGAGCTCGCTTGCTCTTTATTTTGCTTCAGTCAGCAAGTAACGGAAACAGGAGGAGGCACGAAGTGCATAGTAGGGCTTCGTGCTGTGCTCTGAAGTTGAAGCATGTTCTCTGCTGCTGGTAGGTGACACCGTGTGGAGTTCTGCAGACATGAGGTTCCTTTCCAAGTTGCAGGGCCTGGCCTGCCTGTTAGGTCTTGCGAGTCGGTGACCAGGGGTCACGTCGGCAGCGGCACAGGCCTTGGCTTGGGTTCTGTCCCCACAGGTCACTAGCTCTGAGGCTTGGTTCACATTGGGCTTATAGACTGACAGGGAGGGACGTGTGTGTGATTCACTCCCGAAACGGGACTAGGAAGTCAAGGCTGGGAAGTGGGAAGGTGACGGAGGTCACTTTGGGCTGTGAATCCTTCACTCAGGGCTCCGGAACGGAGGAGAGAACTCTCGAGTATAAATGCTTCAGGGTCATTCTCTGCAGCCCCAATTGCTTTTAAGAAATGTGGCAAGAAATGCGTAACAAAGTTCACCATTTACCCATTTTGGGGGTGTACCATTATTCAGTGGTATCAAGTGTTCACAGTAGTGCGCACACCAGCCTCTGCTTCCGGAACTCGATCATCTCACCCTGAACTGCTGTTCCCCTGGGGTTTCACACTTATATCTGGGCCTTGTGTTTTCCAGAAAATTGCCAAACTATTAGGTAAGGAGGAGTGGAGGTACTGGAATCCATGGTTGTTGATTACTGAATAGATTATTTAGAAGGCCGCTTTCTAAGGGTGCCTTACAGCTTCTTTCAGCTTCGTTGCGATGAAGTAGTGAAGTGTGTTCTCCCTCCTCACGAGTCTGGTGGACTTTGACACTTATACTCCAGCCGTCCCGTGGACCCCAGGTTCTCTCTTCCCTGCCTCCATGTGATGTTTTTCTAAGAGATAATTTCTTTAAAGTTCAAGGAGGTCTCTCTGATAAGGGCCGCAGTTACCCACGGGCCCCGCATGGCCCCGGGTTGTGCCAGGCAGGGCTGCAGAGCCGAGACTGACGCACATGCCTCAGTGAGCCGAGCTGGGGCTGCCGTGTCTCTGCTCAGTCCCAGGAGGGAGTCCTGGTGGCCCCGCCCTGTCTAGACCTGGCCACCTCCCTGCCTGTCTAGTCTGGTTTCTTGTTGCCATGGTGATGCTGGGTGGTTTCAGCAAGTCCTGTGACCCCTTGTTTGGACGGTATTTTCTGGTTTCTGGACCCATTTCACACTGTCACTGTATATCTTGTACAGAGCCTGGTACACGTGTGGGCTCAGGAAGTTCTCAGTGAGTAAAGGTCATGTCCACGGAGAGTTGTGCAAGTCACAGAACCCTCACGGTGTAAGCTCAGGTACTTCTCACAGCCACGCTGTAGGGCAGAGACGGGATGGACGTGTTTTTATTTTATTGTTGGAGACACTGAGGCTGAGAGAATGGGGCGCTTCCACGTGGACAAGGTGTGGGCTTGGGGTGACATGACTGTCATTCCCTTTGCCTGGAGCCTGCGCCTTGGTCTTCTCACGGGACTCCCAGCAGCGCCTGGCATTCAGTAAGCATGGCTGCTCCGGGCCCCTGCCACACGTGGGGAGGGGGTGCTGCCCCGTGGGGTAGTGTGGCGCACATCGGGGGACTTTGCATTGAAACACTCCCGGAGAAGCTCACGGATTGTGAGGCACTAACAGCTGAGCGCGTTTTCGCAGACGGGCACACCTGTGTGGCCAGACCCCCGCTGTCCAGAAACAGCTCACTGGCAGCACCGGGAGTCTCCTTGGCGTCCCCTTCTGGTCACATCTGGTCACATCTGCTCTGACCTGTCAGGCACAGGGCAGTGTTGCCTGTCCGTGAGCTCACATACGTGAAGCTGTGATGCCCCGAAGTCCTTTGTCCTGGCTCACTGTACCCGACACTCGTGGTGGGGAGCAGCTCCCATGGGCACTCAGACCTGGACTCAGACTTGGGTTTAGGTCCCTGCTCCACCACTGACTGCCGGTGTGGCCTCAGGTGCATCTCAGCCCGCACGCCCGAGAGAGGGTGACCGCACAACAGGAGTAACAGGGCACGGGCTGTGGTCAGAGAAGGGTCATCAAGCGCTGAGCTTCCCGGTTGGCACTGCATGAGATGCGGGATATTTCGGCTGCTTTTATGGGGTAGGCTGGGACTCTCTCGGGCAGTGGCGTTCCGCTTTCTTAGACTGGGTGCCCTTCTGTGTTTGCCCTTTCAGAACACCCACCCGATATTCTCTCTCGTGTGGGAGTGCGTGGCCACTTTCCTGTGGAACACGGAGGCCGCCTGTCCGATCCTGATCACAACAGACACGGATGAGGTATGTGTGTCCTCCCGCAGCCTGAGCGGCCCTGACGTTGCCCCCGGCGTCCGGCTCTGCACGCACCCTGTCCTCCTTCCTCCAGATCCGTAACTCATGTCACCCTTTCTTCCACGTTGACGGCAGGTTCCCAGGAGTCGTCCTTTGCTCCTCTTCCACCCCCGGCTCCCTGGTTACTGTAGGTCCCTTCTTTTTCCTTCATCCCACTGTCCCTTTGATGGGGCACCGGCACCCCTGTGGGCTCTGGGGTTCTCCGTCACTGCGGACATCTGAGTGGCTAATATATCACTCCAACACCTAAACGTTTCAGTGCCTGTCACCTATAGCAGCGGTCCCCATCCTTCTGGCACCAGGGACCGGTTTTGTGGAAGATTGGTGTAGGGGGAACAGGAGGCGGAGCTCAGAGTTCAGGTGTCAAGAGGCTGAAAGGGGAGGAGGCAGGAGGCGGAGCTCAGGCTTCACTGTGGCTCAGCTCCTAACAGGCCGTGGACTAGTCTGTGGCCCAGAGGTTGGGGACCTCTGACCTGTAGCACACAGCTCACCTGTTTCGCCGTGATACGGTGTGTGGGACACGGCCCACCTATTCCACTATGATACTGAAGGATTTAACACCCTTACCGGCCAGTCTCTTACTGTCTTCTCTGCTTCTGCCTCGGCTGTGTGCCCGCAGCAGTCTGGGCACCTTGGCCTTGGCACTTGCCTGCAGTGAGCCCTGCCCTGCAGAGCCCTGCGGCAGCTGCTGTGTGACGGTTCTCTGACCTTCCGAAGGCGGCTCCTGTTTTCACAGCCCCCATCCTTGGTTGATGCTTTCTGGGGTGTGGCTGTGGCTCCTTTCCCTGCACGTTGTGGGTGGGGGGCAGAACACAGACGTGAGGTGAGGGGGCGGGGCTCACCACGCTTCCTCGTGAGGTACCTCGTTATCCTTCCCATTGCCTTTAAGTGCACACCTGAGGCAGAAAACAGCACACTTTTAAAAAGACTTTATTCATCTTTAGAGAGAGGGGAAGGCAGGGAGAAAGAGAGGGAGAGAAACATAAGTGTGTGGTCGTCTCTCACCTGCCCCCTACTGGGGACCTGGCCCGCAACCCAGGCATGTGTCCTGACTGGGAATCAAACTGGTGACCCCTTGAGGCCCATGCTCAATCCACTGAGCCACGCCAGCCAGGGCAGAAAATAGCACATGTAAGTGACTTTATTAGGTTGACTTTACAAGTCACTTACGGGTCTCTGGATCCTGACCTCTCCTCCAGGGGTCAGCAGCGGTCTTCTTGTTCAGGCAAACGGAGCAGGCCTAGCAGCATCCGGTGCGTGTCCTACCTGAGCCTCATGCCAGGACGGACTCGGGAGTCCAGGCAGGGCTGTGGCAGCGCACGGCCTGCTCTTCTCACCGGTTGGAGTTGGGGGAGAAGCACAGGTCCCTTGGGCTCCCACCTGCAGGTGTGGGTGGTGCCCTGTGTCTGCTGTGCCCTTGGGGACCTGGCCTGATGGCATCTCTTCCCGCCTGGTTCCCGCAGGCCTGCTCCATCCGGGACCCCAACAGCGGGTACGTGTTTGACTTGAACCCGCTGAACAGCTCCGAGGGCTACATGGTCTCCGGCATCGGGAAGACTTTCATGGTAAGATGTTTGTGATGGATTCCTGTTGTCTTTGAAATGGGGACATGGCGCTGAAGCCACCTGCCGCCAGGGACTGGGATGGCAGCTGTCACCCAGGAGGAGACGAGGGTTCGGATTTCAGGGGAAAGGCGGTAACACCCTCGCCCTGGTCCCGACACTGTGCGGCGTCACTCTTCAGAAGATCAGTTAGTCCTCACGGTGCTGGGCCAGCACCCCTGGGAGCTTGTTAGAAACACCCCGTGGGGCGGGGCCAGCAGCTGGATGGAACGAGCCCTGCAGCAGCAGTCAGGAGGAAATGGCGACTAATTGCCTCGTAACAGGGAAACCAGCTGGGTGGCTAGGTTCTAGAACCTTCTGATGGTGCTGCCTTCATAGACAGCCCTTGATGGTGTGTCTGGGGCAGCGAGGTGGAAGACCTTCATGTTAATGCCCTTGTGCATCAACTGAGCGCCACCAGAAAGGGAGAAAGCTTAAAAAAAAACCTTTACTTTGGTTTGTTTAAATTCTTGTAGCAAAGTCCACATTGAAAACAGGAAGTTGGCACGAGAATGTTCTATGAAAATTGGATGCAGAGGGGAACTCTGCAGGCCCACACCACGCAGGAAAGCGAGCAAAGCCCAGGAAAACGCCTGGGTGAGCTGTGTGGCTCAGCACCACTCGGGGTGTTGCTCCCTGCCCTGCACCCCCGATGGCCACTCCGGAGTTGGGTGTAAGCTGGGTGGGCTCTAACAGGGTCGCAGTAGGTGAGGGTGAATGTAGTTGCCTGTTAAGAGTGTGAGAGGCAGGTGAGCACCTAGTCGAACCCTAGTCACAAGTGTTATATGTGTGCATTGTGCGTGCACACTCAGCACAGAGAGAGGTCTCCCCTTCGGCCTTTGCGCCAGGGAGGAGCGTCTTCTACTCCATCTTCGTCACTGCGGTGACTGCAGCCAAGTTTAAATGAAATGGTAACATCTGTAAGAGGAATAGGGGTATCGCATTATACTTACTTTTAATTAGCACGATGTCAGCTATGTACACTTCCTCTGATGTTACTTAACATATTGTGAAATTCTGGCTCACGTGTGTCCTCTGTTGTCCACGGTGCTTTATTGTTGGAAGCATGTCTCTGCATTGGGAAGTGTGAGGATGTGTGTGTAAACGTGTACCAGGCCTCGGAGGCAGTAGGTGGGCTGTGCCGTGCCATGTGGACTCTGCTCTCAGCCTTTCGCACTGACTGTGGGGCCTCGCTGCCCAAACACTGGGGGGCGGTGGAGCAGCAAACGCAGCCCGTTCGGCCCGGCCGGGCCTGGCGAGCTCTGCAGCCTGAGTCGGTGCGTTTGTGTGTTGCCGCCTGGCCTGCAGTTCAACGTGTGTGGCACGATGCCCATCTGTGGGACCCTGCAAGGAAAGCCAGCTTCCGGCTGCGAGGCGTCCACCCCGACAACCGACCTCAAGGACCTGAAGCCGGAGAGGCTGGTCGGCCTGGAGAAGACCCTGCAGCTGTCCACGGAGGGCTTCATAACGCTGACCTACGAAGGGCTGCACTCGGAAGCCAAAGGTGAGCCCTGAACCGTGCGGTTTTGTCACCGACGTGTGTCTTGGCCATTCTGAGACCGGCACCCTTTCTGAGTGTGACGTCAGTGCCCCAGCAGGGTCTCAGAGTCCTCCCACCTCTGGGGGCACGCGTCCTGGCGTTTGCCCGGGTCCCACAGACCTGACCCTGGAACTAGAGGGGTTGCCGGCCACTGACACCCGCTCGCTCCCTCCTCCCAGGTGTCCTTCGTCATTCGTCCCTCTGACGTGGGACGTTTTCAGTGTCCTTCTACCCTGTTTCTTTCAGGTTTTGACAAAGTGGTGGGTAACAATAATAAAGTTATTTTTTTTTTCTCCTCCTCTCCACTCAGTCTTCACTGTATCTTCACATATAGCTTTGCTCTTTTTTGCAGCTGTGCTGAAAAGCAGGGACCTGGTGTGATAAAGTGCAAGATCTGGTCGGAGACCTGGGAGGGGGTGCTGTCCCAAGGGCTTCCTGTGTTGGGATGCTGGGTGCACGTCGCTGGTCGGTTCTCACCCAGCCCTGGGCCTTGCCTCACTCATCAGTGCCCCTGTCCCCTGCTTAACCACCCCCTCACTTGACGGGTGACGAAGGCCAGAGACGGCCCTGTGCCCTAGACAGAGCTGGGAGCTCACTGGTGGTCAGGGTTAGGGTCGGGGTCTTTGGATTCTCATCCTGGCTTGGCCGGTGAGCACGTTTCTCTCTTGCAGGCGAGGCCACAGAGGCCCCCAGGGGCAGTGGTCTGCCCAGGGCTGCACGTTAGTAAGCAGCAGGGTTGAGACTTGAATCCATGCCTGCGTGGCTTTTAATCTGTGCTCTTCCTGCTGCTCCGTGATGAACTCAGGACAGGGAAGCTGGTGTCTGGAGGGGAGTGGGTGATGGCCCTGCTCCCTGGGACTTGTGGCAGTGTGTGGTCATTAGTTAACTTCATGTGTCATGTGTCAGGCTCATAGATACCGGAAACCCAGCACACAGGCAGAGAACGGTCAGGGCAGACGGCAGAAGGGTCATTCGTGATTCCCGGGAAGGGTGGCCGAGGACTGGGGAGTCTGTTTAGGGACGGAGAACGTGGGTCTGGGGCTGCTGTCAGCCCTCTGAAGGGCCGTCCTTCGGAAGAGGAACTAGGCCCGTTCTGTGCCCTTTGTCATTAGGGGAGGGTAGAGTAGAGTTGGGGTGGTGACCCTTTGCTTTATGGACGGAGAGGTCTTCAACTTTCGGTCACCGTGACACCCCAGAGACCACAGGCTTTGTTCTCTGTGATTCTTCTCCATGGTCTCAGCACTGTTAACACGGACCAGTGTAGGCACTGACAAGCGATTCGTTCTTGTGCTGTAACTCGAGGGATAGTTGTCCGTCTCTTATGGAGACCGCTGTAGCCATGGGGCTACAACCGTGAGCACTCGCTCTCTGGGATTTGCGTCCAGGCCCCAGTGCTCCGGGCTCACTCACGTAACCCGCACTCCAGCCGTGCTGCGTTAGGCTCCTCCCTTAACCGCTCTTGGCTGCAGTTTCCTCTGCAGAGGTCATGGGCCTTCACGTGCTCACGGTCCTTCACTCATGCACACTCTTCCACCCCACTGCTCGCCACAACAGTGGCATCGGGCACCTGCTGCTTCTTTCTGGGGCGGTGGTCACAGCCCCCCTCGCTCAGTGTTCTGACCTGCTGGTTGTCACCCACCCTCCCTTCCTGGGCTTTGTTCCTTGTTTCCTCTGCTCTCAAAGCTCCTCCATCAAGATGGCCACGTGGTTCATTTCTTCACCTTCTTCCAGTGTTTGCTCAGATGTCCTCTTCTCAGGGAGCCTGGCCACTGCCTTTAAAACTGTCACACACCATCCCCACCACCCTTGGGATTTCTCACACCCATCCCGGTTTCCTCCTTCCTTACACTTCTCACCTCCCGGCCTGTCTCAGGCTGTGTTTAGTTTGCGCACCATCGGGGCCTGTGGATGGGAATGTGAGCTCTGTCTTTCACTCCCGTGGGTAGGAGGAACTTAGTAATATTGCTGGTTAAACGCATGGAGGAGAGTTACCTTGTTTTCTGACGTTTTCACTGATAGATGTTGCACTTGTATATTTTCTGGAATACAGGGTAGGGCAAAAGTAGGTTTACAGCTGTTCATATGTAAACTAGCTCGATAATTGATAGTAACACAAGAGTGAACTCTTGTGTTTCTCGTACTCACAACTGTAAACCTGCTTGTGCCCCGCCCTGTGAAAGAATGCCAAGGCGTTAGGCTCCCGGCCGAACCCCACCTGCATGTGGGTCACTGTGGCGGTGAGAGTGGCCACCCTGGTTCAGACCAAGTCCCTGGAAAGTCAGCTGGCGTGGTGACAGCGTTGTTTCGGAGGTGGCCATGATGCTTATCCCCAGTGGAAGCGCTGTCCTGGGCTGTTTCTCACGTCTGGCCTTGTTCTGCAGGGACCGGTGACGCTTTCATCATCCGCTTTGTCTGCAATGACGACGCTTACCCGGGAACCGCCAGGTTCCTGCACCAGGACATCGACTCTGCCCGGGGAATCCGAAACTCTTTCTTTGAGTTTGAAACGGCGCTGGCCTGTGTGCCGTCTCCAGTGGATTGCCAGGTCACAGGTGAGGCCGGGGGGCTGGGCGGCTGGGCTCTGAGAAGCCAGTCAGAAGTGTGCGCATATGTGGACGTGTCTGTGCGTGCGGGCCTGTGTGTGGGTGCAAGTGCATGCATGTTTATGTGCATGCACAAGTGTGTGTGAGCATGTGTGTGGGTGCACAAGTGTGCATGTGTATGCATGTTTGTGCGCATGCATGTTTGTATGCATGCACGAGTGTGTGGGTGCATGAGCGTGCACGTGTATGCATGTTTGTGTGCATGCACGAGTGTGTGGGTGCACGAGTGTGCATGTGTACACATGCTTGTGTGGGTGCATGAGTGTGTTCCTGCAAGTATGCATGAGCATTGGTGTGTGTGCATGTATGTGTGAGTGTGTGTGCCTGCACACGAGTGGATGTGTGTGAGATCAATATTTCACAGGCAGCATGTCATTTGTTGTACTTTTTCTTTGACGGATGCCTAGATATGGAATGTTTCTCTTGAAGAGAATCTGGGATAATTAGTGGTTTTAAGCTATATTTTGGGATCAGAAGCTGCTTAAGAACAGAGAAGAAAACTTAGGGGAAAAAATCAAATACACTTGCCAGAGCTTCTTACTGAGGAAGAAAAAATTTAAAAAGGCTAAAGCTGCATAAGGTGGACCCAGACGCTGAGTGGTGTCCCCAGGACCCCTCAGCCTTGGAGGGGTGGCCCCCACCCCCACAGGGATGGCGCTTCCTGTGAACAGCAGCTTGGAGGGTTTGGGTGGGGACCGCCTCACTTCTTAGTTATGTGTGTCTGGTTTGTGTGGCATCGGCCCTCGGTGGCGAGGGAAGGCTGTGCCCCACAGCTGACCGGCACTGGTGTCCGGTGTGTCCCCGTGTGTTGCAGACCTGGCCGGAAATGAGTATGACCTGAGCGGCCTAAGCAGAGTGAGGAAGCCATGGGTTGCTGTGGACACATCAGTGGAAGGGGAGAAAAAGAGGACTTTCTACCTGAGCGTGTGCACCCCACTCCCGTACATCCCAGGGTGCCATGGTGAGTTTGGAGCTTTGGACTTGACTTCCGTGGCCTGCCCTCCCACCCCCCACCCCAAATGAATCTCCCGGCCCGGCCCTTCCAGGCAGCGCCGTGGGGTCCTGCCTGGTGACCGAAGACCACAGCTGGAACCTGGGCGTGGTGCAGATCAGTCCCCAGGCCGCAGCCAACGGGTCCCTGAGCATCGTCTACCTCAACGGAGACAAGTGCAAGAACCAGCGTTACTCCACCCGGATCACGCTCGAGTGCACGCAGACGTCGGTGCGTGAGTGGCGAGCCCGTGCGCCTCTCGGGTCGGCGTCTCCGTGCCCGGGCCCCCCTGAGCGCCGAGTCTCCCGTTTCGTGGGAGCTTTGCCCGTGTTCTCCTGTGTGTGACTGGACCGTGCTCCCCCCCCCCCCCCCCGTCTCCCCCCAGGCTTACGTGGTTCACGGTGCGGCATATTTTCCTCATGGGGCTTAAATGTTGACTTTTTAAAAAAATGAATGGAATGAAGCCCTGGCTGGTGTAGCTCAGTGGATTGAGCACGGGCCTGCGAACCACACGATCGTGGTTTGATTCCCAGTCAGGGCACATGCCTGGGTTGCAGGCCAGTTCCCAGCAGGGGGTGCACAAGAGGCAACCATACATAGATATTTCTCTCCCTCTCTCCTTCCCTTTCCCTCTAAAGAAATAAGTAAAATCTTAAAAAAAAAAAAAGAATAAGCATTTCTATATCTAGAAGAACATGTTAAACATTAAATAAACAAACAAATAAGTAAGTAAATGGAGTGAAAGTAAGCCGTTGGTTCCGGTTACAGGGGTCGCCGATGTTTCAGCTGCTGGATGAGTGTGAGTACGTGTTCATCTGGAGGACGGTGGAAGCCTGCCCGGTCATCAGAGCGGAAGGTGAGGTGCAGGGCCGGCCCCCGACAACACACACTTCACCAGCACCCGAATGTGACACACGGCACTGACCCGGAATGCTCAGCAGGGGGCGGATGACTTATTTTTCTTTTCCTTTTTTTTTTTTTTTAACTTTTATCTAGGGAATTTTCTTCCAGCTAAAATTGCTGTACAGTATCATATTAGCCTCAGGTACAAGGGAGTGACTAGACACGAACGGATGACTCTTTTATCCCCGTGACTTTACTCTGCCGCGCCGCCCACGGTGCCAGGTGTGTTTCCCTCCGGGGCCTCCACGTGGAACACACCGGCCTGGGGTGTCGCTCTCTCGCACTAAGTAGATCTCCGTCCGGGCGCTAGGCTTCCCCAGAAAGCTTTCGGCCGGCAGTTTGTATTACGTGTGAACATAAACAAACTGAGATAACATGGAGACAGGCTTGGCACCTATTTTCAGGCAGTGCTTGTCTGATGAAGAGCGGTGCACCTTCTTCCACGAAGTGGGAACGGGTGTGCAGTTGCACTCACCCTTCACCGGCGTCTTCTTGCAGGGGACAACTGCGAGGTGAGAGACCCGAGGCACGGCAACTTGTACGACCTGAAGCCGCTCTCCCTGAACGACACGGTCGTCAGCGCCTCGGGGTACATCTACTACCTCCGCGTCTGCGGGGTGCTGTCCTCCAGCGCCTGCTCAGCCGATGGGTCCAAGGCCATCTCGTCGTGCCAGGAAAAGCGGGGGCCCCTGGGGTTCCAGAGAGTGGCAGGTACCTCGGGTTTCTCCTGCTCTCGTTGTGAATCCGTGGGATCGGGGTCGAAGGTGTGGGGGGAGCGAGGGCATCTTTCTCCAGCAGGAAGGGTGGCTGCCGTGTTCTCACGGCGCAGCTGCCAAACGCCATCACGCTTTATTTTACTCTTGTTTAGTGATGCCAGTTACGGGTTCTGAGGTTTTATTCCTTTTCTTTATTGCAACCTTGGGACCCACAGAACCAGCCAGTGATGGGTGCTGAGGCAGTGCTTTCTAGGACTGAGCCACAGGGCGCACACTTACTAAAGAATTTGGCTCAGACTTAGGGGCGGGCTGTTGGTCATCATGCTGTCTCAACAGCCAGGCTCGAGACGATGCATTGGAGAGCCTTTGAAAAAGAAGTTGAAGTCGCTGCTGTCACTGTGGGCAGCCCTCAGGGGCCACGTAGCGGAAGTGACATGCTCTTTGCCAGCCCGTCTGAGGAGGGTCTGTGTGTCATTCATCCTGCAGTTAGTCTGAACATCCCCACCTGGGCAACAGAAGCCAGGTTCTGCTCTTCCTGTTGTGACATGACAGGGAGCAGGGGACACTGTGCTGGTGGGCCAGGTGTATTTGGTCACCTGTTTATTCGGGGTTTTATTTGGGGCGTGTGACCCAACACGTGTCTGCCGTGGTGAGCGTGACCTGGGGACTTCCCGAACGGATCCCGGTTTGATCAGCGGGTTCTCGACCAGGTCTCGTCACGCAGAAGCTGACGTACGAGAACGGACTGCTGAAAATGAACTACACAGGGGGAGACGTTTGCCACAAGGTGTACCGGCGCTCGACCACCATCTTCTTCTACTGCGACCGCAGCACCCAGAAGGTGAGAGCTCGGAGCCTGGGGCGTCTCTGTGGTCGTGGGGACCGCCTGCCCCTTGCTGCTGCTGTCTTCATGGAGTGACTGCTCTTGCCACAGCTCCTGCTGCGCCTACTTTAAATACGTTACTTCCAGAGACTGTTGAGATCTCGGTTTGTGTAGATTTTCAGGGAACATAATGACCCCTTAGTGTTTTCATCCTTAAGACTCAGAATGTAGACTGAAGGAGTTCCCCGTTTCACGTGTGTGTCCCTCTCGACCCCCCAGCCCATGTTTCTCAAGGAGACGTCCGATTGCTCCTACTTGTTCGAGTGGCGCACGCAGTACGCCTGCCCCCCTTTCGACCTGACCGAGTGCTCGCTCAAGTAAGTCGCTGCCTGCGTTCGCGCTTTCTGGATGGTGGGACACTTGGGAGGACTGTGCCGGAGCAGCACGGGGTTAGATGCGCCAGGTGACTTCCCTGTGCCTGAGTTTCTTAACGGGGAATGGGGGAGCTGGGGCTGGTTAGCCCCCAAATCCTTCACCGCTGTGTCGGGGTTGTTTTGTGTTAAAGTTCGTGGAACGTGATTGCAGTTGAAATAAAAACCTTGTGTAAGTTACAGGTGTATGTGGAGTAGAGTGACCAGGACATCAGCTGGCCTCTGCTCACCCCTCGGGCACTGCTGGTCTGGGGGTGCGCAGCCGAAGAGGGCTCTCTCCGCCCCCCACCCCCTCTGCATCCTCCCCTCCCCGGCACCCCCCGCTTCCTTGAGCTGTTGCCAGTTTCAGAACATCTGTGTTGTGCCTGGTAACCCTAACGGTCTTCTTGCCTTGTTCACGGGGTGGTTCTGAGGGATTAAGAGCTCACAGACAGCATTTCCTGCAAAACCGCATGGTGTGACTAGACCTGCTGGATCTGTCCTGTGTCCCTTGGCCTGCTCTTTTGGAAGGAAGCAGGCTGTTGAGGTCAAAAGATCCCCTCCTTCCAGTTTCCTAAGTTGTTCCAAAGAATCGGGCGCCTTTGAGGGGTCTGCAGGCTTGGAACGTGGCTGCCTTGGTAGCTTTTTAATTTGGGCGTTTTGTAGCGTTTTCCCTTTCGTTGGTGACAGTACGGCTTGCTGTCCTGTTGGACCCGAGACTGCTGGGCTCTCACGACGCTGTGGGCACGGGCAGTCACGCCTCGCCAAGGGGCCCCTGGCTCCAGCTCGGGTTTCTGGTCACTGACCCCTGCCTGCTCTGGGGTGGCTGGGCTCAGATAGGAGCTGGGCTTGTGAGTCCTCTTCCGTTTTGTTTGAGTGCGGTGCATCGTCACGCACTTCGGGAGGGCTGTGTGGGAGGTGGTCCGCACGTGGTGTGACGGTGCCGTCATTTTGCTGGCAAGGCTGATTGGCTGGGGTAGGGCTCTAGATCCAAAATAACGTCCTTTCCGTTTCGAAGGCATTACCTCCTTTTCTACAAGTCCCCTGAACGGCCGGGGGAAGTTTGTTGGTGGTCTTCTTTGTGTTTTTAGTCCATTCTGGAATATTTTACGAACTTTTACTACCGTGTTTTAGAGATATTTATTTAAAATTTCTAATAAGTTTTCCTAACTATCTTTTAAGGATACTACTAATTTTTTAGTTTTCTTTAAACTCTGTTGTCCATCCCCTAAATTATAATTCGTTATCTTTTAATGAGCACCTTAAGTTTTTTTTTTGTTGTGTTATTTATTTATTTATTTATTTATTTTCCCAGGGCAACATTATTTTTTATTAGTTTTGGGTGTACAGCTGAGTGGTTAGACAATCATTTACTACCTTAAGTTTTTTTTAAAGTTTTTTAAACAGTTTTCTTATTTATTTTTAGAGAGAGGGGAAGGGAGGGAGAAAGAGAGGGAGAGAAACATCGATGTGTGGTTGCTTCTCATACACCTCCTACTGGGGACCTGGCCTGCAACCCAGGCACGTGCCCTGACTGGGGAATCAAACTGGTGACCCTTTGGTTCCCAGACCAGCGCTCAATCCACTGAGCCACGCCAGCCAGGACTGAACATGTGTTCTCGATTTGACCAAAAGCCAGGCCCGTCAGAGCCCTGCCCGCTTCTCCTGCAGTGCAGTGCGGTGGTGTCGGTGCCCTCGCCGCGCTGCCTCGGGCTGGCGTCCCATGTGCACGTTCGGGCCTGTGTTCTCACCTTCAGGGAAGTCGTCCTGGTGCCGGTTTTTAAAAATCATCGCCGCTTACTCGACTGCGTACATTTATTTTCTTTGACTCACCCTTCCTTTTTGCATCTTACGCTTCCGTTTTGACTTAATAATTTTCCTTCTTGTCTGTTTTGTTTATTTTGTTTAGTATAAGTGCTGCTCACAGTGTTGGCGCGAATGCGATTTGCCGCTGGTCCTTGGTGGGACCCAGAGCTTGCGCCAAACATGATTCAGCTTCGCACCGGACAGTGAGGGAACCAACCACACTGTCGATGTGGCCCCACAGCGATTCTGTGACCACACAGTGATTCTGTGACCACAGGGGGCAGGTCCCAGGACAAGCGCTGCACTCGGGCCAGCGCTGCCTGGCGGTCCTGGCAGAGTCGGCGGGTTTCACTCCCAGTGTTTCTTCCAAGAGGCTTACTCCTCCCCTCGCCAGTCCAGCTGAGTCCAGGATTCCTGACGAAGGGCTCTGTTGGGGCTTGGTCAGCCCTCGAAGGTCCCGGTCCGCCTCCCGTGCAAGCCATTGCTTAAGAGCCTGCTCTGGATCGGCTGTTTCATTCCTTTGTAGATAAGCTGTCTCTTCTGAGTACTTTTTTCGTGTTTGTTCTGCAGTCTCAGTGTGATTTGTTTAGGTGTGGATTTATTACCACTTGTGTTCTTGGAGCTTGGCACTCCATAAAACTGAAGATGCCCATCCGTGACTGAGTTCGGGAAACTTGCAGCCACTGCGTCTTCGGATGTGGCCTCCGACCTGTTCTCTTCTTCTGTTAACTGTATCTCACACGGCCCTGTTCTGCCCGCAGGTCTTTCCAGATCTTTCTCACTTCTTTCTGTACTGCCATACTCTATTTCCTCAGACCTACTTTCCAGTTTGCTGATTCTCTTATCAGCTGATTTTAATTTGCTGGTTTGGCTGTTTGTTGCCTTTTTAAATTTTTCATGACTTTTTTTTAAACTCTGAGTTGGGGTTCTCAGTAACTGCATTTGGTGCTCTTTCTGATTCGTCACCTGTCCCCTCCACCCCACCCCCCAGAGTGTCATGTTCTTTTATTACAGTTTCAGTTTCTTCTTTTAGGTCTCTAACCATTTTAAGAAGGTAACTGTTAGGTACTCTTTTACCTGATGTCCTTGAGGGTCTGATTCTGCCATCGCCCTGGTCTCTCACAGAGGACCCACCGCTTAATGCCAGCTCGTCCTTTGCTTCTTTCTCTCTCATGCCTCATTATGGTCTGTCAATCATTAAAGTATCTAGAGTTCTCTGTCCCAGAAACAGTGTCTCTGCCCCGGTTCAGGCTGTCTTTGTCTCGTACCTGTGTCACTGCAGTCACCTCTGAGTTGGCCCTCTGCTTCCCCGTGCCCCCCCCCCCTCCCCGGGATGCACCCAGCACAGTGGTTGGGATGCTCCTGTCCAAGCAGATGCCGCCAGGCCACTGTGTTGCTGCGATCTTCACAGCATCAGTTTCCTGTCTTGTGCGGAGCTGTAAGCTGAGGCTGTGAGCTAAGAAACCCAGGTGCTGTTTGTTACCTTGTATCGCCTCTCACCCCTCACGTGTGCTCTGTGACAGCTGCATGGGGCTCCTGGCTTTTCTGGCAGTGCCAGGCTTGCCCTGGTGCCTCGGGCCCTTAGCTCTCGCCACTCCCACTGCCCAGGTCTTCTTTCCTGGGCCCCTGGAAGGCTGGCTGTGCCTTGTTCTTCCGAGTTTACTCAGAGGCCGCCTTCCCAGCGAGGCCCTCACTGACCACCCTGCCGCTCCGTCTCCTCCTCCCCAGACTCAGTGCCGCCTTCTCTGGCTTTTTCTCCCCAGTCTGACTGACAGCTGATACACTGCACCCCAAACAGGTTTATCCTGTGTGGGGGCCTTTCTTCCACTGTAACCTCTGTAAACTTCTTAAGATTTTTATTTGTTTTGTTTACTATGACTCCTCCATCTTAGTACTTTGTATTTTTTGGATGAACGAATGAATGCTTCTTGTTCTCCTCCCACGTGCCTGGACCTGATGAAGTGGTGTCTGCGATTGTCCCTCTGTCCCTCTGTGGGGACCCGGTGCCGGCCTCGCTCACCAGCAGGGCTGTGCCTGGGCCCGGGGTGGGTCTCACGAACTGTCTGCATTGGAACTTGTGTAGTAAGAAAACCCTTAGCTGAGTAGAAGGGTCGACAGCAGCCTGTTTTAATTTGAATGACAGCAGGTGGCCCGCCCCGAGAGTGGTCGGTGCTGGGGGCGCCCCGGTGTCCGAGCTGCCCCCTCAGTCCTCTCACTGGCCTGAGTGTGACAGACACTAACTTTCAGGCTCCGTGTTTGGAGGGTTTGGTTAATGTATAATTTTGTTGAACTAAGTATTTTTCCTCTTTATTGAATTTATTGGGCGGCACTGGTTAATAATTAATTATACAGGTTTCAGGTGTGCAAATTGACAGCACGTAATCGGGCCTTGTGTGGTGTGTTCACCACCCCAAGTCTCTGTCTGTCGCCCTTCGTACCCCGCCCCCGCCACACCTGCCTCCCCCTCCCCCACCTTCTGAACAGTTTGAAGCTGGGTTGTTGCTGATTCCGACTGCGCCACACGGGGGCGCTCCAGTCTGAGGTTCTGTCCCTGGGGAAGGTCCGATTCCCAGGGGGTCGGGTGGACGGCGCCCACACCCCGAGCCCCGGCAGGCGGTGTGCGAGGTGCTCAGGGAGCGTGCAGTGGGCCCTGACCACGGTGCTCTGCTCCCCGCAGGGACGCGGCCGGCAACAGCTTCGACCTCTCGTCCTTGTCACGGTACAGTGACAACTGGGAAGCAGTCACCAGCACGGGGGCCACCGAGCACTACCTCATCAACGTCTGCAAGTCTCTGTCTCCGCAGCCGGGCTCGGGTGAGAGCATCTCAGTGGGCTGGTGGCTTGTGGTCAGTTTATGGGGCGGTGAGCAGGTGCGGGCTCCTTAGAAGGTGCATTCCTGTCTGAGATAAGACGCTGGTTTGGCTGGGGAGCCGCAGGAGGACTCAGTCTCAGGGGCCTAACGACCCCTGGTGGAGTCCAGGGTAAATCCCTGCCGAAGCCTCTGCTGGGAACATTGTAACCTTTTCAGCACGAGGGGGTGCGGGTGGGGGTGGGCAGAAATAGTCATGGTGGCCCGTGATTCCTCAGCAGGACAGGAGCTGGGAGGGCATGACGTGCCCGCCGGGGTGGGCCTGTTGTGTTTACTGAGAGTGGCAGGGGTGGGTGGCCCTGTCATGGTGCAGGAGCCGACCGCCCCAGACCTTGGTGCCAGTGGCCAGGACAGGAGTCAGGTGCACTCGTGGGACCAGGCACCACCTGCACGGACCATGGTGCCGCCCACAGCCTCTGAGTCCTCGTGGGGTTTATGCGGCTCCGCCCACACCCGGTGTGGCTCAACTCCAAGGGGGCTCTGCCTTTCGCCTCCAGAGAGTGGTTTTCATCGCCTGAGGCTGTGGGTCCCCTTCCCTGTGCTCTGTGCTGCGCAGATTGGGGACCCTGGGGTCTTAATGCACGATGCAGAGGGACCAGTTCTGTCTCCAGGGCGGATGGCACAGACGTTTCGGGGACTGGGAAAGAGGCAGAGTTCGTGGGGCTTTCTCAGTTAAAGGTAGCACGTGGACGTGAGACATGTAAGGTGCCTCTGTGGCTGCGTCCGAGTGTTTCAGCTTCATTGCTTTCGGGTTCAGAAGTAGTTCAGCCTGGCCCACCTCGGACTCTCCCGCGTTCCTGCCTGTCCCTGTCCACTCTGGTCACATGACACAGCGTTTGAATGAGAACCCACAGGGCCATTGTCATCTGATTCACGTGAAGGAAGCGTGTGTCATAGGAGCTGTTGGACTCAAATGTGCAGCGTGCCTGGCGGCCCTTGCCAGATAAAGCTGAAGTCTAGGCTGGAAAGTGACCGACGGTAACTGACTCCCTGTGTCTCCTGCCGCAGAGCCGTGCCCCCCGGAAGCGGCCGCGTGCTTGCAGAACGGCTCCAAGCCCGTGAACCTGGGCAGGGTGAGGGACGGCCCTCAGTGGATGGACGGCGTCATCGTGCTCCAGTACGTCGATGGCAGCTCGTGTCCCGACCGGATCAGGAAAAAGTCGACCACCATCCGCTTCACCTGCAGCGAGAGCCACGTCGTAAGTGACACAGCCTCCTCAGCCCCAGCCTGCAGCTGTGGGGACAGTCGGAGTCGAAGTGTCAGTGAGCCTGGCCTCTCCCCTGGGATGTTAGTCGAGGGGCTCAGGGGGTGTGAGGTGCCAGTGGGTGAGCGGGCAGTGTCGCGTTGGCCCTGGGCTCCCAGAGCACCTTGCCGCTCTGGCCCCTGCCACGCTGGACCTGGTGCTTCCGTTGTAACTTCAGAACCCGCTGGTTCTGGTTCAGGTTTGACTCAGCTCCCCAAAGACTGTGCAAAAAACTGACACTCGACACTGTGCCTTTGGTCTTCACGGCAGTGACACATGTCCTGCCTTTACTTCCTGCCCAGTGTGTGGGTCAGAGAGGCGGGGTCAGGTGCTGGGCGGTGTGTCCTGCCCAGCTGGTGTGCAGGTCAGCAAGGGGGAGGGGGTCACGTGCTGGGTGGCGTGTCTGGCAGGGCCAGTGTGTGGTGGCCAGGCTGACCCTGTCTCCGGGCCCTGTGATCCCTGTCCCAGACGGTCAGTCTGGGCAGCACTGCGGCTGGAGGTTTCTCGGGACTGCTGTTCACCACAGTGGCATCTCTGCACGGGGTAGCAAGGTGCACCCAGGTGCTCTGTGTAAAGAGGACAGTTGCAGCTCGTTTGGGAACAGGGCCAAGCTGGACCAGCCCTGTCCACGTCAGGGCAGACTACCTGCTCTGTCCAGCTGCATGGTGGGAGGAGCGGGGATGAGGGATGCTCGGGGACCAGGGCCGGCCCTCTGGACAGGAGAGGGAGCGAGGTTCCTCTCGGGCAGGCTAGGCCTCTGTGACTGGCGAGCCCCTGGGGTCTGGATAGATCTTCAACTCTGTCTCGGGGCCAAGGGGCTCATGGCAGAGAAGGAAGGAGCTGACCGACCTGTGGGGGACCATGGGAGGCTCTGCACGTGGACGGACCAGTGTGTGGTTTTCATCGTCTGCGTGGTTTGAGGCCGCGGGTCCCCTTCCCCTCGCTCTGTGCTGGTCGGATTGGGGACTCTGGGGTCTTAATCCTCGATGCAGCGGGACCAGTTCTTTCTCCAGGGTGGATGGCGCAGACGTTTTGGGGACTGGGAAAGTGGCAGAGTTCACGGGGCCTTTTTGGTCCCCAAGGCAGAGTTTTCTGACTCTGGGTGTGTCTTGGCCACCCTGTGCATGTGAAGCCCCCAGTGGTATCTCAGGAGCAAATCCTGCTCCCTTGCTTTTTCCAAACCTCCGCCTCCTTTCTGAGATGTCAGGACACAAATCTGGTCCTTGGGGTGTGCTGGCCCCGTCCGCGGCAGGGCACGGGTGGTGGACACCCGGCGCTGCCCGTCAGCGACCTCTGTCCTTGGCCCTAGAACTCCCGGCCCATGCTCATCAGCGTGGTGGAAGACTGCGAGTACACCTTTGCCTGGCCCACCGTAGCCGCTTGTCCTGTGCGGAGCAACGTGCACGGTGACTGCCAGGTCACCAACCCTGCCACAGGTGAGATGCCGCCACTCACCAGCCCCCCCCTCAGTGAGGGGGACTCCTCCAGTCACCGGCACCGTCCACGTGGGAAGGGACTCTGCCTGCCACCAGCCCTGCTCTGGGAGGGGCCCAGTGTGCAGCTGGGCAGCAGAATGCCCGGCAGCAGCGCCTGGTCCGTGAGTGGGTTCGGCCTGCTCTCCGGGACCTGTCCCCACGGTTGCCTCTCATGCTCCTTGGAGAGGAGACTAGCTGTCTCCCTGGAAGTGTGCTCCCCGGGACTCCTGGGTCTGCGGGCGCTGTCACGCCAGCTCTTGGCTCGCAGAGCCAGTTACAGCCAACCTCCCTGGTGTCTGCCAGGTTAACTGGGGCATCTCCACGGAGCCTCTGTGCTGGGGAACTGGGCGATACAGGTGGCTGTGTGCAGGCTGACGGAGCGGCCGAGGGCCGTCCTATGTCCCCCGGAACCCTCATGGTTGCTGGAGCCCGGCTCTAGGAGCAGCAGGGAGCAGTGAGCCGCTGTCTCTGGGGAAAGATGAGCCACTCGGGGTGCTGGGGGCCTTGCGACGCGGGCTGGCTGGTCAGGAACATTTCCAGGGCTGTGTCCGTGAGCGGGCCGGGGTCTCGTGGTGAGAAGTCAGAGATTCTGACAGCGGGGTGACCCCTGGGTGCGAATGCTGGTGATGGGTCCCACGCGTCTCGGCCCCCTGGTGTGACCGGGTCCTGTCCCCGTGCAGGACACCTGTTTGACCTGAACTCTCTAAGTGGCAGCACCGGACACACAGCCGCGTACAGCGAGAAGGGGCTCGTGTACATCAGCATCTGTGGGGATAATGAGAACTGTTCCCCCGGCGTGGGTGAGTGTGCAGCTTCCCGCCGCCCGTCTGTCTCTCGTCCCCAAGGTCATCTCTGTGCCCCTGTAGCCAGGGCACCGAGGCGCTGCCGAGATCACGTGCCGTCCCTCTCTTGGCAGGCTGCTCACTGGGGGCGGGGGGGGGCACGTACGTGGCCACGGGATGAAGGAGCAGACACCTGTGCTGGACTCTCTGAGTTGCGAGTGCCAGCCATGGGTTTGAAAGTGGGTTTGTAGGCAGTTCTGGAAAACTGGTCACCAGAATTCAGGTCGTGTGTCTCTTCCCCCCGCCTCCCCCTGGTGCAGCGGCTTGCTTCGGGCAGACCAGGATCAGTGTGGGCAAGGCGAGCAAGAGGCTCACCTACGTGGACCAGGTCTTGAGGCTGGTGTACGATGAGGGGTCGCTGTGTCCTTCCAAATCCGGCCTGAGGTACAAGAGCGTCATCAGCTTCGTGTGCAGGCCCGAGGCCGGGCCCACCAACAAGCCCGTGCTCATCTCGCTGGACAAGCAGACGTGCACGCTCTTCTTCTCCTGGCACACGCCACTGGCCTGCGAGCAGGAGGTGAGCAGGGGACGGGTTTGTGTGGCGTCCGAGAAATGCCCTGGTGTCGTCTCTGGGCTCACTGCAGGTCCCTAGGCCCCCCGAGCCAGCACGGATGCCCCGTGTCTCACCCATTCCTGATGGTCCCAGTGATGATTGGACCCAGACGCTCAGTGCCACATAACTGAGCGCTTGGGCACATGAGTCTGTCCTTTGTTCTGTTGTTCAGCTTTAAGTTCTTGTGGGTCATGGTGGTTAGGAACATGGCACCGGGGACGCCATGAGGTGTGTCCTCTTTCACAGACCGAGTGTTCCGTGAGGAACGGCAGCTCCATCATCGACCTGTCTCCCCTCATCCACCGCACGGGGGGGTACGAGGCGTATGACGAGAGTGAGGAAGATGCTTCCGACACCAACCCCGACTTCTACATCAACATCTGCCAGCCGCTGAACCCCATGCACGGGGTGGCGTGCCCCGCCGGGGCCGCCGTGTGCAAGGTGCCCGTGGATGGGGACCCCATCGTAAGTGCGGGTCGTCCGAGCGTGGGAACCTTTTCTGCAAGGTTTATTGATGATAATTCTGCATGTTGTGTTTCTTGCTTTTACTGGGGAGTGACTCAGGCAGAACGGGTGGAGAGGGGACCTGGGACTGATGTTCTGCGACCACGGGAAGGGGGTGGAAGCTGTCAGTGTCCGGGGGTGGCCGGGGGGCCTGTGTGCTGTGGGAGAACACGTGAACACGCGTGTGCGGGTAGGCTCAGGGTGGACCCCGGTGGAGAAGTGTGTACGTTGAGGACGAGAAAACACTGGCAGAGCCCAGTTTCTTTGAAACGCACGTTCGTGGTATTAAAGTGCTTGTGAAAGCAGACATTTTCCTCCGTGCAGCAGGAAGGGTTAAGGGCCAGAGTGGTCTTGCTGACAGCCACGTACTCTGTCGTGGAAACTGTGGTTTTTACACTAGCGTTTATCTGTGTAGATTTCGGGCTTCACACACTGTCTTTGTGAGTTATGTTTACGTTTCATCAGGTCCTTGGTAGGTTTCATTAACTTGCAACGCATCTCAGAGGTGGTATTTTGTGAACCCTATCCTAAGGTGTCTAGACAGCCTTTTAAAAGGTGGACACTTACTGGGCGTCGTCAGGAGTGGGCAGGGAATGGGCCGTGAGGTGACCGGTGAGGCCTCAGCCCCTCGGGAGATGGTGAACCCGGCCGCGTCAGGGCTCAGCTGGAAGCGCTTCTGTGTCCCGCCGCCCAGCAGTGTGGGCTGCGACCGTGCTGTGGCCCCGTCGGTCTGGCTCGATCTGCTGTGTTTCATTGCCCAGTGACCATTTTTCAGGTTTTAACTCGCAAATTCTCCGATCAAGGTGGGCGCTGCAGCATCGTGGCCTGAACACGCCCCGAAGAGTGTCACATGCTCACACAGTGCACACACGTGTGCCAGCCCTGGTCACTCGTCTCTCTGTCCTGTGTGCGCCCTCCCCCAGGCTGAGCTGTGAAAGGAGATAGGGAGCGGGCAGCCCCAGTGCAGTGCTGGGTGGGCGACGGTCAGCGTGGGGCAGGCCTGGGGTCCTGCCTCCCACCGTCAGGCCAGACGAGACGGGGCGGCATCCTTGGGGTGCCTGCGGAAGGAGTGCTGCAGCCTGGCACCTGCGAGCTTCCTCGGGGCAGAAGTAGAGCTGCTATCAGCCAAAGGATCAGGCTGGTAACCCCGAAGCTCTGAATTTTCTGTGTAGCATCTAAGCGTCAGGACTTGCTCAGCAAGTTGCTCTTACAGCAGTTTGCTCAGATGCTGCTATTTTTAAGACAGATGAAGTGTCATGTTTGCGGTGTCGTGTTGACCCGGGGAACAGTGAACTTCCAGTGTTTGTGTTTTTCTTTTTTAGGATATCGGCCGAGTCTCCGGGCCTCCTATCCTCAATCCCGTAGCGAACGAAGTTTACTTGAATTTTGAAAGCAGTACCCCTTGCGAAGCGGACAAGCATTTCAACTACACCTCGCTGATCGCCTTCCACTGCAGGAGGGGCGTGAGCATGGTGAGTGTGCCGCGTGTGCACAGCTGGGAGCTGCAGCGGGCGTCAGTGAGTCCACGCTGGAGCCTGAGGAGCCGTCTCAGACCCGAGGACGCTGTCCTTGCAGCGTCCCCTGTGGAGTAGTGAATGACGTCAGCAGGGAGCCAGCCCACCCTGAATTAGTAGCAGTGGGGGATTTGCACAGGGAGGCCACTAAACTTAAAAACACGCACAACCCGAGTGCAGATCTGGTGTTCAACGTGGCCTACCCATGCAGGAAGCGATTGTAACTGTTTTTTTAACTGTGTCGTTGGTGGTTGATTCCTATTTGGAACTGTCTTTCAGCAGCTGTGATCACCTCAAATTCAGAAGCTGGCAAGTGAAAGGAGACCCCTGGGTTCAAATTAGGTCCCACAAAGTGCACATGTGACTTGTTCCACATGCCTTTAGAACAAGTGTCTCGTTGTAGAGTCTTTGCATGTGCTCTCTCTTGACCCCCTGAGTGAATGAGAGATGGACCAGGAGACTGCGGCCCCCATTCCTCTGTGACTCAGGACAGTGGGGGATGGGCCTGTGCCCCACTCCTGCTGCTCTGGCTGAGGGCCCCGCTGCCTCTGAGCTATGCTCCCGAAACCCCTGGAGCCCAGAGCACTTCCCGCCCTTGGTCGGGGCGTACTGAGGCTGCGTGTGGGCGGTGTTCGTCCCACCTGCCGTGACTGTTACATGTCTGGCTGCAGGTGGTCACTGTGCATGGAGACAGGGCTCGTGTGTGTGTGTGTGTGTGTGTGTGTGTGTGTGTGTGTGTGTGTGATTAGACACAGATGGGCGGGCAAGGAAAACCCTTTACAGCTGTGAGTGTACAGAGCAGAGCTTATTGCTGTGTTATTTATACGTTACTGTGTTGTTTTTCACACAAACAACCACACCCCCCGCTTCGGCTCCCCCCAGCAGAGCCCGGTTCCCTCACCCGAGGGGCTCAGGCAGCCCGCGAGCGTGTCCTGCACTTTCCGCAAGGCGAGGCCCTGAGCTCTGGGCCTGTCGGGACAGGGGCTGGGCTGCCAGGCCCGGGGTGCTGGCAGTGGCCTGGCAGGGAGGGACAGCAGCAGTCGGGGGGGTGCAGGCCTTCCCATGGAGACGTCCAGAGCACCTCAGGGCCGTTGGGCACAACCCTGCGTCCAGCTGCTGGGGTGGCGGTGGTGGTGCGGAGGGAGGGGAGCCGTGTACAGCCGGCCCCCGTGGCTCTGCCTGTGTCCCCCTGCGTGGGGCGGGGTGTCCCCCGAGGGTGCCCGGACGGAGACAGTGGGGTGCACACAGCACTTCGCTCATTGTCTGTGCGGTGGGGGCTCCTCGAGACAGATTGGCGCTTGCAACTTTCAGAGACAAGTGCCGTCCCACTGAGTGCTTACACCAGTTTGGGGAAGATTTTAAAGCTGTTTTCTTCCCTGGTGGTTTTTATCTTTAGTGGAAACATTTTTTCCATTTGAGTTCCTAGAAAAAAGATTCTCAGTAGTGGTGAAAATAAAATTCCCATCTGGTTGCCTCAGCTGTGCCCGTGGCCGAGGCGGGGATGTGGGCGTGGTCTGGCATGGTGGTGTGGGGACACGGCTGGTGCGCGTCGGGGCACTTGCTGCCCTCTGTCGTCGCAACAGCGGGGTCGCAGTTCACAGACTTCTCCACCACGATGTTAAAGACCGCCCCCTTCCTCTGGGAGGTCACCCACGTACCCGGTGGCCTGTGGCTGCGGCCAGGCCCTTCTTCTGGGACAGGCAGAGACCCAGCCCCACTGACCTGTGTCTCCACCTCTTACGGGGTTGGCGAGTGGGGGAGGTGCGGGCCCGACCCACGCGGGGTGCCAAGGCCGTGCTTGTCCCCCACACAGGGGACCCCCGAGCTGCTCAGGACCAGCGAGTGCGACTTCGTGTTTGAGTGGGAGACCCCGCTCGTCTGCCCGGACGAGGTGAAGACCGACGGCTGCTCCCTGATGGACGAGCAGCTGCACTACAGCTTCAACCTGTCCAGTCTCTCCAGAAACACCTTCAAGGTAACCCCACCCCCGGCCCGGGGACCTCAGGGGCTGGAGGGGGCAGCAGCCGGGGCTTTCTAAGGTCCGTCCGTTGTGTTTTAGCTAATGGGACGTTGGTAACCCTGCAGGCTGTGTGGCCCCCGAGGTGGTGCCTGGAGGGTGGTGCACTTCACAGGGGATCAGTGTGGGGGGTCCTGGGGGTGTGGCTAACCAGCCACAGCTGATGGTTGGGGCTTTAGAGCCTCAGTCTCTGGTTCAGAGGTTTTAGCTCCTTAGGGCTGTGTAAGGATTAAGTGACCCTATGAGGTCGCCTGGGGACCCATCTTACCACTGGTGAGGACCAGGAGGTGACTCAGGACGCACTGGTGACCGTGCCCCCAGAGGGCAGGGCCAGCCTCCTGCAGCAGGCAGAGGCCCCGTGGGGTCAGTGCCCCTGGGGTTCGGCAGGTGTGAGAGGAAGAGCAGCTGTTTCACCGGCTGCAGCGGAGGCGGTGGAGGGAGCTGGAGGCCCCGGACTCCAGACGCGTCTGCGCCGTTTCAGGGCCTGTCTGGCTCCCAACCTGCACGTCTTGGACGGTTGTTTGTGTGGACGAGGCAGGGGCTCCCTCTGGTTGCTGGTGGTGGGGAGACCCTAGGCCTCTGGGCCTGTGACCTGGACATGACCAAGTCCCGCGGCCATGGCCCTGGGCCGGGGTGGGGTGGCAGCTGGTGAGCGGTGAGCTCCAGACTCTGGGCCCTGGGTCCTGTGACGGAGACCCAGCCCGGCATGGGCCCTGCCAACAGGTGTGCAGTAGGCGTGAGCCTGAGGAGGGCGGGGCTGGCGGGCGAGGCACATGTGGAGTTAATCATGGAGCGCCCACGCTGTGCTCATTAACCCCGTCCTCCCCATGCCCAGGTTTCTGGTGGGGGTGGGACTTCGGGAAGGGGACGAGCGAGCAGCCTGAGGCCTCACAGCTGCCCCTGCCCCAGGCCCAGCTGTGGAGGTTGCCACCTGTGTGCTGCCACCAGGAGGGGCGGGGGAGGTGGCAGGCAGGGCCTGGGGTGGTGGGAGGAGTGGTTCCTTTCAATGGCAGGAGGCCAGCTCGGGAGGAGGCGCGCCCTGACTCAACATGCAGGCACAGCCCTGCCTTCCTGCCCCCGCCGTGGGGACCCTCCCCCTGGAGACCCATTCACCAGCACGCATGGTGTTGTCCGTCCAGGTGACTCGAGACTCGCGCACCTACAGCGTGGGGGTGTGCACGGCGGCTGCGGGCGTGGACGAAGGGGGCTGCAAGGACGGCGGCGTCTGCCTGCTGTCTGGGAGCAAGGGGGTGTCTTTCGGACGGCTGGCGTCGATGAGACTGGATTACAGGCACCAGGACGAAGCCGTCATTTTAAGTTACGCCAACGGAGACAGTTGTCCTCCAGGTAACACTCAGCAGCAGGGGGCACTGATGTTCGCAGTGAACCTGACATTCGGCCCGGCAGCGGGGGAGAACTGAGGAGTGAAGCTGCAGGTCCTGTCGGTTCTGAGACCGTGGATAGGACCCTGGTGTTATGTCCCCGTGGCCCGGAGACTGGGGCTCAGGCCTGGAAATGCGCTCTGGCCCTGTGGCGGGGGCCTGCCGGTCCCGAAGGTGCTCTGGGGGGACCCCTTCGGTAGGAGGTCCGCGATGGGCAGTTCTGGGCCACCAGTCATCCCACCCGGCAGAGCACAGGTGGTGTCACATGGCAGCCTGGGTCATGCCCGTGTCCTCTTTCCAGAAACCGAGGAGGGTGACCCCTGCGTGTTCCCCTTCACGTTCAACGGGAAGAGCTATGACGAGTGTGTGCTGGAGAACAGGGTGAGGCTGTGGTGTGCGACGACCGCGGACTACGACCGGGACCACGAGTGGGGCTTCTGCCGACAGTGTAAGTGGCAGCACCGCGCCCGGCAGGCGGTGCAACCGGCAGGGCGCCCTCGGGCTCATGTCCGGGAAGCTCAGGCCTTTGTGGGCTCGCCGCTAATGGCGGTAACTCTGTGGAATGTGACCTTTCCCCGTCAGGGCTGGTTTCCATGACGAGAGGACGTGTTTAATGGTCCATGGGGCGTGGTGCACAGCCACACGCGTGGTCTACAGCCGGGTTAGCAAGCACGTGCGGGTGGTCGGCTGGGCGCACTTGCTGGCTGAGAGCCCAGTGTGCCCACCGGTCCTCCACCCGCTCATTCAGACCCCCGCCGGGGCAAAGCACCTGCCTGTCCCGAGTCTGCAGGGTGGCACATGGACATGGGGGACGGTGGAGGGCTCCTCCACCGCCTTTCTGCTCCGTGGCAGGCCTGGGCCAGGGGCTGGGGGGTCACAGTGAGCCAGGCTTGGCGTCGCGGCTCCCGAGGTGTTCACACCCTGGTGACGTGAGAGAATCCTACTGATGCGTGTAACGCAGACCCGTGTGAATTCCCAAGGAAAGTGAAGTGGGGTAAAGGCATTGGAAAGCATTTAACTCCTGTTCCTGGTCAGGAAACAGCGATACGTAGCCGGTACCCCTGAGTGTTAAACTTGTTACCTGGCTTTTTATTTTTTAAGTCTGTGGTGCATTAATCACACTCGAACGCCTGTCTTTGGGGAGAGGAGCTGGTGCTGCGGGGTTTGGGAGGGACGGAAAGAGACGCTTGGCCTGTTTATGGGCACAGAACAGCGAGGCCCTGCTGGCGCGGCACGGGGCGGCAGGGAGGCGCTGGAGTGCAGTGTGGGGCGCGGGCTGCGTGTCTGACTGTCTCCCTGCTGCCCCCCCAGCGAGCAGCCACCGGATGTCTGCCATCATCTTTAAGTGTGACGAGGATGCTGACATTGGCCGGCCCCAGGTGTTCAGCGAAACTCGGGGGTGCGAGGTGACGTTCGAGTGGAAAACGAAAGTCGTCTGCCCTCCGAAGAAGATGGAGTGCAAGTTCATCCAGAAGCACAAAACCTACGACCTGCGGCTGCTGTCCTCTCTCACCGGGTCCTGGTTCTTCTTCCACCAGGGGGCCTCGTGAGTACCGTCCCCTCTTGCCAGTGGAGGCCTGTTCTCTGGGAGTCGGGGCCCGACGTGTGTGGGGTCAGGCCCAGTGGGCCCCCCGGCGGGATGGCCTTGTAAATCTGAAGCCCACCTGCCTGGGAGCTCCTGTGCCCCTGGCGGTGGCCCGGTGTAGGGTCCCGCTCTCTGCCAGGCGCTCTGAGCCCTCTCCTCAGAGGGCGTGGACTTGGAGGACTTGTCCCCGTTCAGGGGAACAGTGCACCATTTTGAGCCACTGCCTGTCCCAACTCGAAGCCCCTCCGAAGCACAGGCATTTTGGGGTTCATCCAGGTGCAGGGTCGGTGCACCCTGCCCCTTGTTCAGCAGGGGGTGCAGTCCTGTCATTTGAAAAGCTGCTTGTGTGCTGCTTTCGGACGTGCTGCAGGCTCCTGGGTGGTCAGGGTGGCGGCGTTCTCCGAGGGGCCGGGGCTGAGCTGCCCTCGCTGTCGCCCCGCAGGTACTACATCAACTTGTGCCAGAGGGTGCACAAGGGACCCCTGGACTGCTCCGAGAGAGCCAGCATCTGCAAAAAGAGCGCATCGGGGGAGGTGCAGGTGCTGGGGCTAGTGCACACGCAGCAGCTGGATGTCGAAGGTACGGCCTGGGCCCGGGGCGCGTGACCCGCTGCAGGTGCTGTGTTCGAGTGGGGGTGGCCCGGAGGGGCCTGCACGGACGCGGGATGAAGCCTCCGGGGACCGTTCCGTGACAGGGTCCCAGGCTGCATGGCAGCCCCTGGAGCTTGAGGGCGACACTGTAGCCGCTGAGAAGCCAGGTCCGGGCGCGGGTGTTCAGGGGCCAGGAGGAAGGCAGGGAGTGCGGGGCCCCCCGGAACTCCTGCTCCAGCAGGGGGTTCAGTGAGTGAGCACGCAGGTGTATGTGGAAGCGTGTACCTGGGAAGGCCAGACAGTGACACGGAAACTCGGTAACAGTAACGAAGGAGCGCTTTTCTGTAACGTAACAGTTTGGGGAATGATAGCGAAGCTCCTTTTGGTGGTATTTGCAGAAAACTCCCGTCTCGCGGCCGGTGTGGAGTTTGAGGCTCCACTTTACTCTCATAAAGCAGGCAGGCAGGGCTTTCTCGGCGTAGGAGCGGTGGGGGCGTGTCTGGGGGCCAGCGAGGAGGACGCGCTCCCCTTTGCCTGCCACACTGGACTGGGGTCCTCGAGCTGTGTCCCCACCGAGCCACAGGTGACGGCACCTGGCTCGAAGCGGTTGACACGGAGAAAGAAGGGCAGTTCTGAGGAGCTGCTGCTGCCTTGACGAGAATCCTGCCGGACTCTCCAGGTTGACGGGAGGGCCGCCCCACAGCCCGGGGTGCCCGGACCACCTGCCCACGGTCCAGCGCCCCCTGGAGTTTCAGTTACTGCGGCCGTGTCAGCTGTTCGAGGGGCTCGGACGGCTCTTCCTGCAGCCTCGTGCTTGTGTGTGGCCAGGTGACGGTCTCCTGCACCTGCCACGGGCCCCTGAGGGAGACTTTTGACGGCTTCAGTGGAGCTGGAGTTCGCAGTCGTCTCCTGGTCCCCCACACGCCATCTAAGGGCGCCCTCAGTGACCCCCCCATTCATTTAGGGGTGCTGCCGTGGGGGGGGGGGAAGACGGCCTGTCTGTCCCAGGACCCAACCTGTGTCGACAGCAGTGCTTTAGGTGTGTGACTGTCACAGCCTCATGGAGGGGGGGCGAGGTGTCGGGGCTGAGTGGATGCCCATCTGGGGGCGTCCGTACGAAGGCCAGTGCTTGTTTGGTTCCGTACTCCAGCTGTTTAAGAATTTCTCTTTAGGGCAGTGGGACGTGAACAGAATTTACACAGAAGTCCAGCATTTAAGACAAATTCAGCAGGGGCGGCTTTGGATTTGGGTGGGGCTGAGAGCCTGGGCGTCACTGGCCTGGGGGTCACCTGGTAGCACCAGGTGGCCACGGTGCCTGGAGAGCCCTGGGGAAGCTGGGACTGCTGCCCATACTGTCTCCTTTGTTCCCTCTGCCCAGGGTGTGCGCATGGGAGAGTTGGGCGGGGGTGGGGGGTTGTCCTGAGGACCCTGCTCTGGGCCCCAGAGCCACTGTCTGTCCACAGAGCCGCGGACACAGGCCACCCTGGGGCAACCCCGACCGCCACTTGCAGCCGCTCGGCCCCAGCACGGGGTTAACCTGCTTCCCGCCTTTCTTTTCTCGTAGACCCCGCAGGGGAGGGTTCTCAGCCGTCGCTTTTACCAGGTTATTTTCAGGAGCAGAAAGAGCTCAACGTGGAGCCAAAGACGCAAGAAAACCGGAGTCGTGTGTCCCTGGCTTCTCTCTTTGTAGGCCGAGGCCGAGCACCTTCCCCGCACAGGGCGGCACCTCAGACCGCACAGGGGTTGTCCAGAGCCTGCCGTGACGAGGCTGCTGGTGGCTGAGGTGCCGCGCCGTGCACTGCTACCGGCACTTTCCAGGCACCTCGGCAGCCCCCGGGGTCTGGGCAGTGTCCCCGCCACACATGCGTGGCGACTGAGGCTGGGCAGGCCACCACCAGGGCCGTGAAACTGGGGGGCAGGAGGCTGGACTGGAGCCCAGGTCTCTGGCTCTGCCCGCCGCCGAGCGGCCAGCGGGCCGGGCGATGCATTTTCAGAGAGCCGAACGTCTCTGCCATCCCGGTGCTTGGAATAGACTCTGACTTCTGACGTTGACGGTTTTTGTAACGCACCAGAGGTAACGTCCCTGCGGTTGTTGGTGTGTTCCAGATGACAAGATCATTGTGACGTACTCTAAAGGTGACCCATGTGGTAAAAACCACACTGCGTCCAGTGTCATAGAGCTGACCTGCGCCCAGACGGTGGGCAAGCCTGCCTTCAAGAGGTGAGGGAGCCGGGGAGGGCGGCCGGGGAGCAGGGAGAGGCTGCTGGTGGTCAGGACAGGGAGGGTGGGGCGGGGGGGGGGCTGCCCCCACGAGGAACGTGTGTGGGGCCGTGGTTTCTAGACCAGTGTAGCCATGTAAAGCAGCATTTATAACTGGCTTCCATGTTCGAAAGTCAGACCCAAGGGGCGTTGATGGGGGCGGCCACGGCCAGGGTTCTAGTGGCCTGTCTGGGATCCATGGGCAGGCCGGTGGGGCTGGCAACTGGGGTGCTCTTGGCACCTACTAGAATGCTCCAGGCAGTTCTGCATCGGGTGTGAGGGCGAGGTTGGCCACCAGGTGGCGCGTGTGAGCCGCTCTCTGTGAACGGCGGATTCCTTCCAGAGCTGGCCTGGAAAAAGGGAGTAGCCCCCAGGAACTGTCCAGGGCCTTCGTCAGTTTGTGAGATGGATGCACTTGTCAAAAACTCAAAAATCTAGGAGCAAAATTTCCCCCCAGCTTTTAGATGTGGTACGGTTTCCAAGTCTGAAATACGGTGTTAAATTCTGGCCTGTTTTCACACTGCTGAGGGTCTAGGGGAAGAGGCATGGATAGGCATTCCAGCCCTTCACAGGGAGGGCGCGGTGGTGGGGGCGGCGGTGATGCTTGGCCAGAGCCCCGATGGCCAGGGAGCGTCCTCAGGAACAGGCTCTGTGTGGCAGTCACCAGGCGGAGCCTCGCACCGCCGTGACCCCTGGCCGTGACCGCACCCCGCACCTCTTTCCAGGTTTGACAGGGACACCTGCACTTACTACTTCAGCTGGGACACGCGGGCCGCCTGCGCCGTGAAGCCGCAGGAGGTGCAGATGGTGAACGGGACCGTCACCAACCCCGTCAATGGCAGGAGTGTCGACCTCGGAGACATCTATTTCAAGTGCGTGAAATGTTTTCCTTGGAGCCCTGCGGTGGATTCCACCAGGACCAGCAGCTCGGGGCTCGCCCTGGCGGGGAGCTGCGGGGAGCAAGCTGTGCGCCTTGGTTACGGTTCCTAGTTTTGCTTCAGATGAGGGAAAGCATTGCTCAGCGGTCGAGTTTTAACACCAAAGATGGTGAATTCTCTTGTGTGTAAAATTAGTCACCCGTCCCTCTCACACTGTGATAAGCCCAGGGCTTGAAGCCAAAACCTCCCAAAACTGATTTTAATCGGGGCTCTGTGGTCTCATCAGCTTCTGAAAAACCTATCTGCTTTTTGGCAGTCTCCTTGGGGCAGTTCTTGGGGTCAGGTGGCTGGGGTGACTGGTGTGCTGGGGGCAGAGTGAAGTGTGTGGGCTGCTGGGCAGTTCAGGGACAGTGCCTTGCTTGTGAGACAGTGGGGACGGGGGTCGACGCCCACCAGAGTCCCCGCGGGCTCAGGGACAGGCCGCCCAGGCTGGGAGAACGGGGGTGCCCTGCAGCCCCAAACTCGCTCCCGGGACTTCGGGGCTACAGGGACGGCTTTCTGAAAGGACTGCCAGAGTCACAGCCATCTTTCCTGTCCCTTCAGGTTATTCACTGCCTCTGGGGACATTAGGACAAATGGGGACAAGTATCTCTACGAAATCCAGCTTTCTTCCATCACAAACTCCCAAAACTCAGCTTGCTCCGGGGCCAACATTTGCCAGATTAAACCCAATGACCAGCACTTCAGTAGGAAAGTTGGGACTTCTGATAAAGCCAAGTACTACATTCAAGGTAATTGCTTTCTCCCATTGTCGGTTCATGTTTAACATCCTCAAAAAAGAACTTTAAAACATTCACGAACTAGCCCCTGCCATTGAAATCTCAGATGCAGTTTAAAGCAGGAGCTCTGGTCTGATTTTCGCCTTGTGCACCTGTCCCATGGAGGGGGTGGCCTGGGCCCCAGGGCTCCCCACCCGGCACAGCTCGGCCTCGTATGCCCGACTTCCTGGCCCTCGGTGGTGGCTGACTGGGGACAGTTGAGCCGTCTGTGACATGCGGAAGGGGCTGAACCCACCAAGGCCCCCCCACTCCTGACACTGCTGCCAGTGTGCGGGCTCCCATCCCCACCCCCAGGTTCCACGATTCACTAGAAGGACTCTGAGGGCGTCCGGAGAGTGGGTACAGTTTATTCCAGGGGGAGGGTGGTAGTTAAAATGGGCCCAGGGAAGAGGCACTTGGGCAGGTTCAGGAGGGAGCCACACACTCTGTTCTCTCCCTGTGGGATCCAAGTGTGGTACCGGGCACGGAGGGTCACTGGCGGGGGAGCTCCCTGCCCCTCGATGCCGGGGCTTTTATGGGGGCTCCAGTGCGTAGGATTGGGGGGTTGGCTGGTTTGGTTGGGTTGATCACTAGTTGGTTGATTGGCTGGCTGGTTGGTTGGTTGACTGGTTGATTGGCTGATAGTTGGTTGATTGGCCAACAGTTGGTCGGTTAACTGGCTGGTTGGTTGGCCAACAGTTGGTCGGTTAACTGGCTGGTTGGTTGACTGGCTGGCTGGTTGCTCACTTGGTTGATCTCTGTCTCCAGGTAGACTGATAACTGTGGGGCCAGCTGCCACTCCAAACCATATTATTAGCTGAGGACAAAAGCCAGACTTCTTTCAGGGCAGGATTCAAGTTTTTCTTGCACACTGGTTTAAGGCAGGGCTCCCCAGTTTGTGTCCAGTGGCCTGTCAGGAAGAGCGCCCAGGGACGTTTAATGTGGACCTTTAAGGTCACCTGTCTTAAGGTCCACGCAGACTTCTTGTAGAAGCCAAAAAGACAGACTCAGCCCAGTTGGGACGGTGGTGGCAACACTGCTGTGGCTGTGTGACCTTCCTTCCCGGCAGATGGTGACCTGGATGTGGTGTTCACCTCGTCCTCCAAGTGTGGAAAAGACAAGACCAAAACGGTCTCTTCCACCATCTTCTTCCACTGCGACCCGTTGGTGGAGGACGGGATCCCGGAGTTCAGCCACGAGACTGCCGACTGCCAGTACCTCTTTTCCTGGTACACCTCTGCTGTGTGTCCTCTGGGGTGAGTGCCATGGCCCGGTGTTGGCAGTGCCACTGTCAGTCACCAGTCACTTTCCTCTTTGGATGGGCACTTACACCACCGTACCCCCACCTGCTCTCTGAAAACTTAGCTCCAGTGTAAGTCAGTGTGCGTGTGTCTGCCACCCAGTGTTTCACTGTGCAACGTACTCAGACAAGAGCAGAACCAGAGGAGCGGGGGAGGTAAACCCCACGCTGCCAGTGCCCAGCGTCAGTAGTTGTGCGCAGGGTGTCCTTGGCCCACGTGCATCGGGTGCCCCTCTCTCCTCACGTCTTCCCCCAGTCAGTGTGTCCCCTCAGTGGCCCTGGGGGACAGGGCTGTGCCCCTTCTTTGTTCCCAGCAAGTCTCTTGTTTGCGTCTCAGTACAAATTATGTGACAAACGTCACTTACCTTGAGAGCATGAATTAATGAAAACTCACCCCACAGATTGTAAAAACCAGCCTTAGGCTCAGTTTCCAATTACCTTTCTGCCCCGGGGGCTTTCTGGTGAGAGGAGGGACACCCCCGCCACCCTCCCATCCACCTCGGTTCCAGGGCCCAGCCAGCTGCCGAGGTTAGAGCCCCTCACCCAAAACGCGGTGTTGTAAGTGGCTTTCCTCTGGGCTTTATTTTCTCTTCCATTCACCTCACGGTCTTACAGAAGCTTTTTGGTCTCTGTCCTGAGCTGCAGATCAGGGGGAATACTAGTTCTTGCTGGGTAATCGCTGCCCCCCCCAACCCCCTTGCCCGGGAAAGGGGCCTGCAGGCAGCAGGAAATGACGCAGGGCCTGCCAGCAGCCCAGGCCACGCCCTGGAGGTCTCAGATCCGCAGTTCGTTCCACTGCGTTTTACCCTCTGTGGCTGCTGGTCCAGCCTCCTGCTCTGGCCCCCCAAAAGTCAGCCTTGTCCTAAATTTCCCAGGCATGCAGATGTAAGGCAGATTTAGAGGTCTCAACAAACCTCTAAACGTGGGTGCCAAATACATGACGCATGTCATGAGGCACATTAGGAGCCAGTGATTAGCTGAAATTAGCCAGTGATATGAAATTAGCTGAAAAACAGAAATGCATCTGGAGACCGAAACACGCTTCTAAGTAGCTGGCGGATTTCAGAGGAGACCACAAGTAGAAGTGAGAACACACTTAGAACTGAGTGGTAAGGAACACCCGGTGCCAAGCCCTGGGTGCGTCTGAGGCGACCCTGTGTGGCCCGGCGGGTTCCAGGTCCCGTGAGGACGTCCTGCCTTAGCAGATGGCGATGGAGGCATCGCGCTGGAAGCGAACCCCGTTCTCTCTGAGGCTCTGGGACCCAGCGTGTTCTGCACAAGCCGAACGTTGCCGAGGGCGGTTACATGGTCAAGGTGTCAGTTGCCCTCTGGCCCTGGTGTTTTGAATTAAGTGTTTTTCTCTGAGTGACGAGCCAGCACCCCCAGCACCCAGCTTCTTCTCACGCGTGCGGCCTGTGGAGTCACCCCCTGTGCCCCCAGCAGTCGGCTGCTCCTTGCCGCCTGCCCTCTCGGGCGGGAGGAGCTTCTCTGCACGATTGTCACTGTAGGCTCAGGGGCCGAGGGCCAGAAAGACTAGAAGCGTCACTGGAAGGGCCAGGTGCTGCAGCAGCATCCGGTGCTCGGGGCCAGAAGGGAAGTCGGTCAAGATGTTTCTCGTTTTCCGTCAGTCATTTTGCCAGGGAAACATTGCTCTTCTCTCACGTGGGTGGCGGACAGTGTGGCAGCTTGAGCGACTGTGTCACTCGTTCTGCCTCCTGGGACTTGGCCTGGACAGAGGCTATGTGCCATGCACAGCAGTGTCCTGTGGGTGCCCCGCCGGCCGGGAGGCACGGAGGCTGTGTCCCAGAGGGGCGGGGGGCGTGTTGGGAGGGAGAGGCCGTGAGGGGCCTGTGACCCCTGTCCATCCCCAGCGCAGAGGGCTGGGGGTCCGGGAGACACGTGGTCAGCTTGTCTTTTCGTCTGTGCCTGAGAACCCTGCAGAGGGACGGGCAAGAACTGAGAGGGGTGTGTCCCTCAGCCTGCTGTCTCGTTTCCTTGGTAACGGTTCATGAGCCCAAGGCAGGGTCTTCAGTTGGGTTTCCGACACTGCTGTCTGCCCCCTCATTGGAGCTGCCCCCCACTGGCCTCCGTGTCTGGTGGGTCTCTCGGTCACGATGTGGCATAGTCAGAGCCACTCTCCCAGTTGGGGGCGGCTGGGGTCTTGGCAGTGGTGGCAGTGCCCCTGAGTGACCTGGCTTCCTTCCAGGGCGAGCTTCGACAGCGAGGACCCTGGCGAGGACACGCAGACGCACAAGGGGCTCTCGGAGCGGAGCCAGGCCGTCGGGGCGGTGCTCAGCCTGCTGCTGGTGGCCCTCACGGGCTGTCTGCTGACCCTGCTGCTCTACAAGAAGGAGAGACGGTGAGGAGAGGGGCATAGGGGGGCCTCAAGGTGGCGGTTCAGAGTTGCGTCTGGGCTCGGTTTTAGGGGGCACTCACAGCACCGAGCCCTAGGTCACGACTAGGGCTGGAAGTGGTGGGAGTGGTGTCCAGTTGCACTGTGAGCGTCTGCATCTCTGAGATGAGGTGTCCCTTTGGACTAGAGTATGGAACCTGTCTCAGGTGTTCTGGTGAGCTTCCACGGCCCGCGTCACAGCGCGACACTCTGGGCTCTTGCCTGGCTGGCCTGTTTGCAGGACAGCTGTCTCTGAATGTCCAAAGGTGGACAGAAAACTAAGCATTCATCACAAGCAGACTTCCTTCTAAGCTACTCTTCCCTCCCCCTGCTTCAATAGAGTGACCACTTATTAGGCACCTACTGTGTGCGGGTATGACACCACCCTCTCGGCTCCCCTCTCGAGGGTGCGGGGGCTCCTCACTCACCATGTGTGGCTTTCCGGTGAATTTTCATGTCACACCTGACAGAGGCGTGGCGCTCGGAGCCCCATGTGTGGTCCTCCTGGCCCAGGGCAGGAGAGCAGGCTGGCCGCGGGCTCCCTGCCCTCTCTTATCTGCCACGCGAGCCAGAGGTGAGCAGGGGGTCTGGGTTGGAGTCAGCCTGAACTTCGTCACCCGGCGCCTGTGGTCTCAGGGTTCAGGAAGGTGCGGTCTCATCACATTCACACGCAGAAAAGCAGCAGTACTGCTGTTCGGAACTTGCTCTAGGCTTCGCCAAACCTCTAAGAGGTAGGGCAGGAGTTGAATCCACTTCTGTCTGATTCTAGAGTGTCCCTGCCACTGGACTGGCTTCTCGCCCTGTCATTCTGGGTTTAGTGCCCCTGTCTGTGGCGGGATGTACTGGTGGGGGGTTGGGGGGCGCAGGCTTGTCGCTAGAGCTGGGGGCAGCTGGCCTGGGGGCGCCTGCCCTGCTGGTTCCGCCTGGAGTAACTGGTCTCTTGCAGGGAGGTGGTGATGAGTAAGCTCACCAACTGCTGTAGACGGAGTGCAAACGTGTCCTACAAATACTCAAAGGTAATCTCCTGCCTCCCCCCCTCCCCCACCATCAAGCTGCGGACAAAACGTCACCACCGGCGCTTTGAACCAGGAAAGGGGGCGAACATCGCCAGTTGCTTTTAAACCCAAACACGGTTGTCTTTTTTTTTCCTTCAAGTTTTTCTTATCGGGGTTACAGCTGATTTCCTTAGAGTGTTTCCTGTTTAGGTTGCTCCTATTTTTTTGGCTATTCTCAGAAAGTCTATACGACCGCGTTAGTTTCTGTGCCTCTGGCATCGGGGGGGTTTCCTTCAGGTAAATTTCCGGGAAAAGGCGTTGCTGGCACCAGAGGGAGTAAACGCACCCAGGGCTCCCCACCGTGCTGCCAGGATGCTTTCTGGAAGGCTTCCCAGTGTGCCGGGCCACGTGGCTCCCCTTCCCGATCGACACCCCCACCCCAGGCACCCCTGGCTCTTGCCGGAGGAGCCCGGACTCGCTGGCCTGCTCTCCTGCCCCTGGGACACTGTCTGGGGCAGCGTCTGGTTGGGCCTCAGCAGGACCCGGCAGCTCCGGCCCTTGCCTTCCTCTTCCTGGTGGGGCACTGGGACTGTGGTGGCCGTAAGGGCAGGGAAAGGAGGGTCCCAACTCGGGAAGGAGGGGACACAGAGGAGCAGAGTGGGGTCTCAGGTGGGGTCTCAGGTGGGCTCCATGAGCTGTGCTTCGTCCCTGCAGGTCAACAAGGAGGAGGAGGTGGACGAGAACGAAACTGAGTGGCTGATGGAAGAGGTCCAGGTGGCCATCCCCAGGCCCGGGAAGGAGGGGCAGGAGAACGGCCATATCACCACCAAGTCCGTGAAGGCCGAGGCCCTCACCTCCCTGCATGGGGATGACCAGGACAGTGAGGATGAGGTCCTGACCATCCCGGAGGTGCGCGTTCACTCGGGTAGGGTGGCTGGGGCGGAGAGCGCCCACCCTGCGAGAGCCCCCCAGAGGAAGGTGCTGCGGGGCGACCGGGTGGGGCTGGTGGGTGGCGAGCAGGCAAGGAGGGTGCTGCCCCCCGGGAACGCCGGCACCCTGGCCTCCTTCCATGACGACAGCGATGAGGACCTCCTGAACATCTGAACTCCCGGTGCCTCCCGGGGCCTGTGGGCCGGTGGCCCATCCAGGCCCCTCCAACCAAATACGACTTCGCCTTGATGATGCTTCTGTCATTTTTGCCTTTAACAAAAACTGTTTCGAAAGGGAAAGTATTTCTGTGAGGGGGAGAGGACGAGGAGGTCCAGCACCGCTCATCTGTGGGTGGCCACGTCGTGGAACGAGGCGTCACCCCCGTTGCCAAAGGGCGGTGCTGGGCCCGGGTTTTTCCCTGAGTCCTCATGTGAGGGCCTGGCTGCCGTGCCAGGTGCCTCTGGGGACAGAGGGCTCTCTGCTGGAGAAACCCCTTGCTGCTTTAGGCCCTATAGGATATTTGGCCATTATATTTTAGCATTTACTCCTCTCCTCCTATTTATTGACTTTGACAATTACTCAGGTTTGTGAAAAAGAAAAAAAAAAGCAACAGAACACAACCCCCCAGCAGTTACCTCTGCTGGCCGGGGCCGCTCCGGTCCCACGCCATTGGGGGCGCTGCCAGTGTGGGTGGTTCCATACTCGACTCTGAACTGGCCCACGATGTAGCCTCTCATTTAGAAGACTCCATTGCGCCTCTCTTCCTCTTGGCTTTCTGTTTCCTGCGGGCACACGCACGTGCACACACACACACATGCCTGTACGGGGGTCCCCGAGTGCCTGGGCTTCCGAGGGTCTGCCCGCTCCCCGCCTCCTGCGACGGCTGCAGCTTTCTGCATGACATCTAGAGCCCAGCGCTGTCTGCACTCGGTGTTTGTCGCCGGCCACCGTGCTCCGCCCGCCCAGAGACCCACTGTGGTGGGAGAGGGGGGCTGAGATGCCAGGCCGGTGACTTTTACAGATCTCACCTCTTCAGGTTCTCACGACACCACCGTGACTGTGCGTATTTTTTTAAGAAAAAAAGTGTTTATCAACCATCTGACCTATATGAAGCCTTAATTTGCACAGTGCGTGACTTAGGAAATTGCATGAACGCTGATGGGCGGGAACCTCGCCCCCCCGGGTGGCCCTTGGGCCCCAGCTGCGGGGCGGCCGAGGTCGGGGCAACACTGCGGTGTCTCCCCACCCCCGTTGGCTCCTTTCTTGAAGTGTTTAATGGATGACTTTTCTCATATTCTAGAATTGTACATAGACTCAGTGGTGGTCACATACTGAAGCGCAGGCCACCCTACAGAATGCGTTGGTTTGTACTCAGTTTGGCTGGCTTATTTGATTTCAACATGAGTATTTTTTAAAATCGATTTCTTTCCTTTTTTTTTTCAATCAAATTTACTGTAATATAAAGTACTCAACAATTTCAATAAAAAATAAATTATTACCTGGGTGTGCCTGCTCCTTCCCTTTGGGGGTGCCGGAGTCTCTGAGCGGTGGCCGGTCTGGCTGCCCCGCGGCTCTGTGAGGTCGTGGCTGCTTGCGTCTCTACTGGCAGCGAGGACAGGTCTCAGACCTCCGGTGTCCAGGCGGTGAGGCAGTGCAGCTGTGTCGTGTGAGCTCCCCAGTCCATGGTGCTCGGCGTGGCAGCTCTGGGAAGTGAACCAGAGCTAAAATGAAGCCAGTTCCGGCTTCCTGGAGGGGCCGGGCGGTGATGAGAGACACACTGGGAGAGGGGCCCGTCCTGTCTGCTCCTGGGCTCACAGAAAGCTCGGCGCAGGAAGTCCACTTGCCCTCTTGTTCGTCCCTCCATCCAGGGAGATGGTCCTGAAGATGTGTTTCAGGCCAGGAGACATGGCACAGGCAGGTGCTGTTTCTAAGGCCCACGGTCCCCCATCTCTCCCCTGAACTGCTTTCCCAGTCTAAGAAATGCTTTCAGTCCAAGATGGAGAACTGAAGGGCTGCCAGGACAGAAGTCACTGAACGCCCTTGCCCTGCTGTTGTGACCGCGAGCGTGGGCTGGCTTTAAACTCTCGCCTGAGCTTCACGACCGTCATCTGGCCCTGGCTGTGTGGTTCAGTGGATTGAGTGCCTGCGAACCAAAGGGTCACCAGTTTGATTCCCAGTCAGGGCACATGCCTGGGTTGCAGGCCAGGTTCCCCATTGGGGGCGTACAAGAAGCAACCACACACTGATGTTTCTCTCCCTCTCTTTCTCCCTCCCTTGTCCTCTGTCTAAAAATAAATAAAGACTTTCTAAAAATTGCTTTTAAAAAATTATCTGCCCTGGGGTCCCCTGTCACCTCCTCTGGTCTGGTCTGCAAGCTCAGAACAGGCTTTACACTTTCGGAGGCTGGAAAAGAAAAGGTTACATGACCCATGAAAATCAGGTGAGATTAATATTTCTGTGTCCCCAAATAAAACGTTACTGGAAGCCCTGCCCTCACTCATTGGGTCTCCTCCGGGGCCACTGAGCCCCAGGGTCTCGGGTGCGATAGCTGGTGTGGGACTGGCCTCTTGAGCTTGGGTTTCTCGTGTCCGACGCGTGGGTCACTCGCAGTTCTGGCAGGGGTCACCCTGGGCAGAGGGCAGCCTGCTTGGCAAGGCGCCAACCTGGGAGCTTGGGGTGGCGGCCCCGGGCGTCTCCGCGCTGGCCTTGAGCACAGTCTGGCTGCTTCTCCTTTTTGCAGTTACGGCCGCCTAGGGTGTTGCAGCTGCCTCCGTGCGCACCTGAAGCAGGGCTGGGAGAGGAAAGGGGGTGTTGCAGGGCAATGTAGGGGTTCCAGTCTAGGGGGGTGGGGGGGTGGGGGCAGCTCCTGTCAGAGCTGGGTGGTCGCTTTCTCCTTGGAAAAAAGCGAGCAGTGTGGCATTGAGCCTGGTGTGGCCTGGCCACCGGGGAGGTGAGGAAGGGGAGGGTCCCGGCTTTCTCCCCATGATGTGTGGAAAGCAGGACCACCCACCTGGCTCCCTCCCAGGCAGAGGGCTCCTGTCGGAGTTGTCACACCTGGACCCCGTGGTGTCAGAAAAACCCAGTGGCCTCCCGTGCGTCTCCTTTTCCACTCACAGAACCGTTCTGACACTTCTGGTTGACAGGTCTGTGGGATTTCCCCCCACAAGCAAGCAATTCCTTCCTGCGCTGTAACTTGGTACTGCCACTGTGTTCCTGGAGAGCGTCCATCCCAAGGCCTCCCCCCCCCCCCGCCATCCCAGGAGGCCGCACCCCCCTCCCCGTTTCAGGTGCCAGTCACAAGTGGTGGGTCTCCAGGTTCCTGCAGTTCTGCCTGGTTCAGCTGCAGATCAGGGTTCCCGTGACCCCCGCCCTCTTGGATTTGCTCATTTGCTAGAGCGACTCCCAGGCCTCGGGGTGAGGCTTCTGTCGGCCAGATGAAGGGGTGCTTGGGGCGAGGTCTGTGGGGTTCCGTGCACAGGAGTCTGTCCCTATGGAGTTGGGGTGTGTCGCCCTCCCGGCGTGAATGCGCTCACCGACCTGGGAGCCCCCTGAGCCCTGGACCCTTGGGAGTCTCCTGGAGGCTCCCGCACAAGGGCCTGGTCAGTGACCAGTTCCGCCCCCAGCCCCTCCCGCTTCTCAAGAGGACCGTGGTGGGGCGGGAAGTCCCAGCCTTCCCACCCAGACTTGGTCTCTCCCTTGGCCGGGAGCCATCGAGGAGCCCGCCCGAGTCCCCGCATTAGAACCAAAGGCACCCGTCACCCGCAGGTGTTGGGAGTTCTGTCCCCGGAACGGGAGGCGGATGCCGAGTGGGGAGGTCGTCTCCCCCCAACCCCCACACTCACCGCCGGTGCTTGCCCTCTGACCCAGCGGGGAGGGGTCTCAGGGGAGCAGCCTCCCAGGGGAGGGGGCGGGCTTGTGACCAAACCTGTGCCCCTCTCTGCCCAGGGGTGAGGGTCCCAGAACCAACGTCCCCCTGCGCCCTGCACATCTGTTTATCTGTCCCTCCTGTGCGCACATGGAGGGACCCGCCTTTAATGTCACCAGTCCTCCTAGGGCTGACACGGGCCGGGGGCGCTGGCGGCAGGGACGGTGTCTTATGCCTGGTGGTACTTCGTTATCTCCCATCGGCCCCTCTGTCCTGGGCCCGTGGGGTCGTTTCCCAGGATTCAGGTGCTTTCAGGGCAGCGGCGAGCCTTCGGGGAGTGGGGCGGGGGGGGGGGGGGGGAGGGAGAGGCAGTGACACTGGCGAGGTCCCTGGTTGGGTCCTGGAAAACCCAGCCATCCCAGTGGGCCAGGACGGATGGGAGGGGTCCTTCTGGGGAGCGTGGCTCTCACACCGGGTCAGTCCCATGCACCCCAGGCCAGGGGACTGGTCACGGTGATACCACAGGCTGCTCTGTGTTCGTCCACGCTGCTGCTGACCTCGGAGCGGCAGCCGTCACTGCCCAGGCCCCTGCCTGCTTATGCTGGGCATGCGCCCTCACCATGCTCGGCCTGGGGCCCCTCATGGTGACCGGCAGGAGCGGGGTATGGGGGCCCTGTCTGTGTTTTGGTGACGGAGACTGGGGGACCTGATGGCTGCCTCCTGGCTGTGCCCCAAGGGGATAGGAAATCTGTAGATTTCCTTGCCCAGAGGAGGGTGAGGCGGCCTGGCCACCACAGGCTGCCCCTGTCCTCGCGTGTGCTCAGGGCACACACACCAGGAGGTGGGCGTTGGGGCCACCTTACCGTCGGCCCCTCCTCACGCTCTGTCAACCCCTTGCACCCTGTCAACTTGCCTGCCGTAAGGACGACCCCAGGGCCCTCTGCCTGCTGCTGTCCCTTTGTGAGGCTGTCCCCTGGGGACCGTAGCTGTTTGGAGTCAGGCCACCTCTGTGTCCTGGGGCCCAGCACTGCCTGAAGTGAGCGGGGACTCGTGAATATTTGTTGAGTCAACAAATGAACCCACTCATGAGCCCGTGAGCCAAAGACAGCTTTGTAGCCTGAGCGCTCTCGCTGTGGAGCAGTTCAAGTTCAGTGCCAGTAGGAACTTGGAATGTTGTTTCCTCCCTAAGCCTGTTTTCCCAGGTGTGCACGGGGACAGTGATGGCGTCCGTGTTGAAGGCTGTTGGAGGAAGGGGTCAAGGACGGACGGCACGTTTGAGAAAGGAGGCTGAGGCTGTCCTCCCTGTGGGTCTCCGTCATGGCTCCGTGGGCCGATGGCTGGGGCACGCGCCACTCCTCCACGACGTTCTGGCCTTCGGTCCCTGAGAGACGGACATGGGAGGCAGGCAGGCACACGTGTAGTGCCGTTTCCGCCTGTGCCCCGATGTGTCCCGGGCAGCAGTTGAGTGTGAGTTTGAGAGGGCAGGTGTGCAGCAGGTGTGCAGGCCCTGCAGGTGACTCCAGACAGGTCCTCACGGGAGCCTGCCAGCATGTGGGCAGGTAAGGCCAAAGGCCCCTTCCTCCAGTGCTGAGAGCGCCCAGGCACCTGGGGGGAAAGACGGGCCCAGGGCACCTCAGGAAGGGCAGCAGGGTCATCTGACAGCTGACCACAAAGGTTAGAACAGAAGACGAAAGCCAGTGCCTCGTGGCTGAGTGACATCTGGTGCACACAGAACACTGTCCGGGCACCGTGGGTGGTGGCCACAAAGAGGCAGGCGGGCAGTGGGAGATAGGGACCCAGCAGGGACAGATAACTCCGGGCCGTGGTGATCTGTCCCTGGCAGGCAGGAGAAGCCCCTTGGGGAGGGGTGCTTCCTGCTGAGTGTTAAAGGGAACAGACAATGTCTCTAGGGATGGCAGTGACCCAAGTGGTAGCTCGCTGTCCCCGCCCTGCCTTGCTCTGTTCTCTGGGGACTGGATTCTGACCTCGACTGTCACACGGGCCGGCCACCACAAGGCTGCAGTGGCCACACACACACAGGCACAGGGCCCCCCCAGCACCCCATGAGGACTGCCACACATGCCAATCGGGGTGTTCTAATATGACAGGCTGGCACCCTCGAGATGAAGGGGTGTGAGGCCACAGCTCAGACAAACCCTCCCCCCAGCCCCATGGTGGGCGTTGCTCTCGGTTGGAGGGGAACGGAATGTGCACTTGTTAACCATCGAGAAAGCAAACCAGCCCGGACGCGGTGTCCATCTCGTCAGCTGCGAGCACCTGGCAGGCCCGAAGGAATAAGCCAGGGGGCGGAGGAGCTCTTCCCGTGGGAGAGGGAGGGGGGCTGGGGGTGAGAGGTGGAGGGGAACGTCCACCCGGGCACGTGGCTGACGGCAGACCTTACCTGTGGGCAGCCCTGGGTGGACCCACTGTCTGGATGCAGGGTCCACGGGGCCTTCTCCCACCCGCCTGCCTCTCGCATCAGGGCAACTCGGTCGGCGTGCCGCCACCTCCCAGCCACCAGGCTTTCAGGAAGCTTTGTAACCGCTCCATGACTCAGTTTCCCCGTTGGCCAGTGGGGTTGCAATAGTACCCGTCTCACAGGTGTTCAGGGAGTATTAGCGAGACAAGTGTAA